CAGAGTATGAGAGCTCGGGGTAAGCATTTACACCATTGGAACCTCATTTGCCAGTAAAAAATATGATAATTGTTTTTTTCCCTTCTCTCTGGCAACAAAACTGACACCTTTTTACAAGGAGTCATGTTTGCATAGACCACAATACCTGCAGCGATAATGCAAACAAAAAACATAACTCTGATAATGTACGCACTGTCCTTGATTCCGTTCCTCCTTGCTTCTGGCCCACTTATACCGGAACCGACTGCCCCGACACGTCAAACAATCAGCCTCACTTTTCGATTTAAAGCTTTCGTGACTGCAGGGATTCATCTTCTTGGTTCTTTCGGTAAAGTCACGTAGAATGGAAATAATAAAATAGACTCGACAGACCTGTTCTCCACCTGAGGACGGCTGCTTGCGTTGTGGCCGAAACGTCGTGAGAAATATTTTATAATGGTTGGCTAATATGTCTCAACAACTGTTAACAGGATCAACAACTTGTCTCAACAACAACTCTAACAAAACATCATCTTTTTGGTTCTTTCGGTAAAGTCACGTAGAATGGAAATAATAAAATAAATAAAAATAAAACATAATAAAATAATTCTCACGACGTTTCGGCCACAACGCAAGCAGCCGTCCTCAGGTGGAGAACAGGTCTGTTGAGAAGACAGAGTCTGAATGACACACCCCAGGCTTGGAGTGACTATTTAAGCTGGGATGGAGGGGGGAAGGGCGCCTTGACAGAATAATTTGCATATCAAGAGGAATTTAACATATTTATGGTACTACGTTGTGAGAATTATTTTATTATGTTTTATTTTTATTATTTTATTATTTCCATTCTACGTGACTTTACCGAAAGAACCAAGAAGATGAATCAGCCTCACTGTCTTATTTTTTGTTCTTCTCGACAAACTCACCTTCCCTCGCTTACCCAAACTTTCCTTCCCTCTTCTTCCCCATCATGAATACCATCCCTCTTCCCAACCTCCCTACCAATTCATCGCACTCACTCATCATCATTAAACGACCTATTGTCACTCTCATCATTGTTTATTTCACGCACTATTCTGCTGTACAAATACCAATTTTCTTGTTCAGCGCCTTGCTCAAGGCGCCATATAAATTGAAATACGATAAGACGTGGGAAGGAGTCGAGCGAGTGGAGGAGGGGAGAGGTAGGCAGGGATGGATCTGTGAAGTATGCCAAAGACAATGGAGGGATCTGAAGACTGGGAAAATGTGGTGTCACTTGAGGGTGCGATTGAGGGGCCTGGTGGCGTTGTTCTCGATCAGAGGATGCCACGGGACCCCAAGCAACCAGTTCCGTGAATATTTACCCAGAAAGGCCTCGCTTGGTCTCAGGATTCTTTGGCAGGAGGGTGCTGCTGCATTTGGACGTTTGATCGATTTCATTTGTAAGCTTTTGGCTTTTTTTGTCGGAGGAAACCAGAGAGCCCGGAGGAAATCCAGCACCGCGCTGAATGCGAGTGAGCGGCACTCGGCACTGCTATCTCCTGGCCACACCTCGCGGCCCCACAACACCTGGCAAGCCGTGGTGGTCATCCATCTAAGTGCTAACCAGACGCAAACCTGCTTATCTTGGAATATTTGAAGAAAACGGATTCATCTTCTTGGTTCTTTCGGTAAAGTCACGTAGGATGGAAATAATAAAATAATAAAAATAAAACATAATAAAATAATTCTCACGACGTTTCGGCCACAACGCAAGCAGCCGTCCTCAGGTGACGAACAGGTCTGTCGAGAAGACAGAGGACGGCTGCTTGCGTTGTGGCCGAAACGTCGTGAGAATTATTTTATTATGTTTTATTTTTATAATTTTATTATTTCCATCCTACGTGACTTTACTGAAAGAACCAAGAAGATGAATCCCTGCAGTCACGAAAGCTTTACATCGAAAATGGATGTATTTACAGTAACGTGGTTGTCGGCTTTAGACTGCCTCGGCCGAACTCAAAATGCATAATGCAGCACGGTTTGTGTTTTATATACAATCTAGACTGGACCGCATTGCAGAATGCTCTACAGAGGGCTATCGGTCATCGGCAGGAACACAGGAAAAGGGGTTGACCCTGGTTTCAAGAATTGATGGCACGGCAGGCTGTGGGGAAGATAGTTTCAGATTATGGGGGGGGGGGGGGGGCAGCAGAGGAGAATGAGTGACCTCTCGTCGAGCCATTGTTGACCTGAGGCCTTCCATAGAAAGCTTTTGGTTGTTGCAGCGGCGGTTCAGACGGCAGCCCTCGAAGGCGCGGAAATCTCGAGTGCAGCTGACAGGAGGCGTCGACACCGCGCAGGAAGTGGTTGCCACAGCACCCTTGAGGGAAGTGGCACACGCCCAGGAGGCCACCCTCTCAGCCTGCCCGCCGACGAACCCGGCAGTACCGACGTTCATGCAGTTCCAGCGATGCGTGGCGGTGGCGGTGGTGGTTTCCCCGCTCTGCTCGGCCCATGGTTGGGACTGGCTGGAGTGTCCCGGCCGGCACGGAGAAGGTGGAGGCGGCTGCACAGCGCTATCTGTGAGATGCAGTCGCAGCTGAGTTTGTGGAATCGAAACTGATGTGGTGGTGGTGGGGCAAACAGCCTCCTCATCGCCACGTCTCACTTGCTCCACCACCACGGCGGCGGCACAGCGAGACACACGGCATGGGGAACCGCGGCGAGAAACGGGGACAGCGAGAGGTGCAGAGGGACACAGCGAGACACAGCAAGGAGCTGCGATGCAGAAAAACACAGCCAGACGTGTGGACATGGCAAGACCCGGGGGACAAATGAAGACACAGCGAGACACAGTGACGTGGAGAGACATGGGGATATTGAGAGAGAAGGGGATACGGTGATACACATGGACACGGTGACACACGGCCACACTGTGAGTCATGGGGACACACTTCCCCCATGAGACAGACATGAGTCACCCACCGTTTGAGAAAGTCATTGTCGTCACGTGCCTCTGATGCTGCAAAGTGGCCTGCGAAGCATCCAAAAAATGTACCCGTAAAAACAAAGTTTTTCATCTATAAATCCTTTATATGCGTGACATCGGTTTTATCTTATTATTCATTTCTATTTTTCTTGAGTAAAAGTTTCATTTTTATCACATTGGTATTTTAAATTAAATATGAAAAAAAAAATTTCCTAAGAAGTGGAAAATTTTGGAATTTTTTTTCACGAAAATAAATTTTCACGCACAACGAGTCTGTGTGCAAAATGTCAGCTCGATTGGATCACGGGAAGTGGGTTAAAAAACGACCGAAAGATTTGCACGGTCGTAAGCGCGCAAGCAAGCAAGCAAGTGAACTTAATATAAAGGATTTAAAAATACGAGGTTACAGCTTGTGGCTCCGCATTTCATTTTGCTGACGTGCAAAACGACAATGAGAAGTGACGGCGACAGAATGAGGACTTGTGATGAACGTGCTGGCAGTGGAAATGCCACGTTTTCCTGCACTCTTGCTCACTCGGTTTTGTGCCATCGGGGACTTGTAATCACCGACGTTGGAGCTGCTGAAACCAGCAAGCGGCGATGCGTGCAACTGTGGCGGCGGCCGTAGCGGAGATGTGGGATCTGATTTACGTTCCCAGGGCGATGAGCTGATTCGGATCCACTGCCCGTGACCGCATTACTCAAATGAGGACCGCAGCCCTGAGCCCTGCGGCAACTGGAGCAGCAACAGGAGCAACAACAGGAGCAAGAGCAGCCCCCACCCTGTAGCAGCAAAAGCATTAGTAGCAGCAGTAGTGACACAAGCAGCAGCAGCAGGAGTAAAAGCAATAGCAGGAGTAACAGCAGAATTAACAGCAACACGAGGAGGAACAGCAGCAGCAGCAGCCGGAGTAAGCACAGCAGAAGCAGGAACTCAATGCCCATCAGAGACATGGTGTCATGGCGACGAATTTGTCTTGAAAGGTCTCAGTGGGAGATTTCAAAATGTCAAGTTAGAGCAGGACTTCTCAAAACGCCATTCGTCACGATCCACCATTTCCGCATTTATCTGTCTGCTCCGTTCCATTACAAATTGAGTCGTTGCACTTTTTTCACACACCGGTTAACAGAGGTCGCAAACGGGTTTTGATTCCTTACCCGTACCCGTACCCGGCCGCACCAGGGTCGCAAACGGGTACCCGTGCCCGGCCGGGTACGGGTAGCCGGGTATCGGGTAGGGTACGGGTATCGGGTACCCGGTTGTGACCTCTGCCGGATAATGAGTAAACGCGTGCTGCGGCACGGGGCCAGGCGTTAGTGGTGGGCGACGAGGGCGGAAAGCCGCGAGGGGTACCGAAAATGAGTTAGGAGAACTCAAAAAATAGATTTCACTAAATGAGTGATGAAGTATTTTTGTTATTTATTTAAACTATTTGAACTAAACAATGTTTTTGTTTATTTTACCAGGTAAGGCCTACTGAGCTACATAGTTCTTAAAAAAAAATGTTTGGAGTTGTTGATGATTCTAGATTTGAAGCTTTCGTGACTGCAAGGATTCATACTCTTAGGTTTTTTCTTTGTTGATGATGTTTTGTTAGAGTTATTGTTGAGACAAGTTGTTGATCCTGTGGACAGTTGTTGAGACATATTAGCCAACCGTGCTAATCGGAGGTGCAAGGGAAGGACAACAAACAAAACACAAACACCAGTTCTAAAGAAATGAGTTTTCAATCCAGATGATGTAAAAGTGCAAGGCTCCAGTGGCTTCCTAATATCGGAAGGAAGAGCGTTCCAGACGGCCGCAGAAGCGCATCTGAATGCGCGCGATGCAGTAACCGTCTTTGTTTGATGATTAGCCAAAAGCTGCTGCTGCTGCTGCTGCTGGGAGGATCACCGGAGTTGGCGTGATGGTTTACGCTCCCTAACCAGATCAGCAAAGTATCGTGGTTCATTTGCGGCAAGCACTTTGTGTGTGATGAGTGTAAACCTTAATTTGTTGACGCTGTTGGCAGTTGCCGAGACAAACTGTTGACGTTGTTGTTGCTGCTGTGCGTGTTGCCGTGGACAGGCAGCTGGCGAAGCCTACTGCGCCGTCACGGGGCCCCGCGTTTCCACACGACCGTGCGCCTCGACACCAAGGGATCGGCGGCCGAGCGACTCCTGGTGAGGGCCGGGGGCAGTGCCATGGAGTCGAGGCATCGCAGTCGTCAAAGCTCCGGCCATTGGAGCCCCGATCAGACTGTGACGCACCGGGGTGGCCGTGTTCTAGCAACCGTTACCGAGCGGCAATGGTTGTCAGCCCCATTTTTTTTCTCTCGTAGAAAAAAAATAATTTGGACAAAATGTGGGCAAATCTGGTGGGCAACTGGGATGGCGAATTCCAATCGGATCACAGGCAGGGGTCATGTGACTGCCCTCGAGGTTATGTGGTCTGTAGACCAAACGTGGGTCACGAAGCGCACCCTTCATCAAACTGTTTTGATTGGCTAAGCCGCAACTCCGAGTCGCCCTGCGGCCATTGCTGCACCGAGTTGCCGTGGTTACTCTTGAGTCAATATTAGAATCAGAGTTTTTATTGAGACTGCAGGAGGAATCTGATGGGCCATGAAGCTCTTTTTCACAGATGTCCAGTACGGACATGGGGTCAGCAATTGGTGTCGATTGTCTTGAAACAGGTCCAAAACATCGAGCGTTCACTGCACCACAAAAGTTGTACAAGATAGAGTGTGTAACACATTTCTTCAAACTCTTTGGGTCTTTCGGTAAAGTCTCGTAGATAGAAAAACAAGTTAGCAAGGTTATTACGAGAGCTTGGGAACAAGAGAGACGCGGATTGGAGAGGGAATTCCAAAGTGGAGCAGTGCGAGGGAGGAAGCAGAACAAGAAGTGAGGTGACCTGCAGTTTGGTGAGCGGGTGGCTGAGTGAGTGAGTGAATGGGTGAGTGAGTGAATGAGTGAGTGAGTCATTAGGCGAGTGGGTGGATGAGTTCCTCAGTGAGTGAATACGTGAGTGGCTGAGTGCGTTCTTGCAACCTGCAGTGTTAGCGGTGCGGATGGAGACAAACCAGTAGACCGAGTCCTCAACATGGGTGGGGAAATCAATGAGTGAAGTTTGTGAGAACAGTGACCGTGGTGTTAGCTATAGAAGAGCGATTAGGAGGCGACTGATCGCTGGCAAGCGAGCCACTGCAGTGATTTGATGAGTCCTGGATCATAGACCATATAACGGCCTATAGGGGATCAATGGTGATCGTAGCATGCGTACATGGTATCTGTTGCTGTGGGCCTGGTTAAAGGCTGTTAGGATAATGGTTGCTGTGAGCCTGGTTAAAGGCTGTAAGGATAAGGGTAGCTGTGGGCCTGGTTAAAGGCTGTAAGGATAAGGGTTGCTGTGGGCCTGGTTAAAGGCTGTAAGGATAAGGGTTGCTGTGGGCCTGGTTAAAGGCTGTAAGGATAAGGGTAGCTGTGGGCCTGGTTAAAGGCTGTAAGGATAAGGGTTGCTGTGAGCCTGGTTAAAGGCTGTAAGGATAAGGGTTGCTGTGGGCCTGGTTAAAGGCTGTAAGGATAATGGTTGCTGTGAGCCTGGTTAAAGGCTGTAAGGATAAGGGTTGCTGTGAGCCTGGTTATAGGCTATAAGGATAATGGTTGCTGTTGGCCTGGTTACAGGCTATAAGGATGATGATTGCTGTGAGCCTGGTTAAAGGCTGTAAGGATAAGGGTTGCTGTGGGCCTGGTTAAAGGCTGTAAGGATAAGGGTTGCTGTGGGCCTGGTTAAAGGCTGTAAGGATAATGGTTGCTGTGAGCCTGGTTAAAGGCTGTAAGGATAAGGGTTGCTGTGAGCCTGGTTACAGGCTATAAGGATAATGGTTGCTGTTGGCCTGGTTACAGGCTATAAGGATAATGGTTGCTGTGAGCCTGGTTAAAGGCTGTAAGGATAAGGGTAGCTGTGGGCCTGGTTAAAGGCTGTAAGGATAAGGGTTGCTGTGGGCCTGGTTGAAGGCTGTAAGGATAAGGGTTGCTGTGAGCCTGGTTAAAGGCTGTAAGGATAAGGTTTGCTGTGGGCCTGGTTAAAGGCTGTAAGGATAAGGGTTGCTGCGTTGCGTGAAACGGTGGCTGTTATTTACGGGATTCACGCCACAAATCACCTGACCACACAGGGTGGAGTGTGGGTGCTCACGGCTAGAGACGGAGGGGGAGTCTAAGGGAGATGAGAGATATCGAGAGGGATTAAAAGTCATAGGCAGACGAAATAGAATCGGAATCTTAATTTAGACTGGAAGAATCCGATGAACTGTAAAGCTCTTTTTCACAAATATCCAGTAGTTCAAGTTCAAGTTGATTTATTAGGTATAGCCCTGTGAGCCATTCGGCTCTTGAATCGGGTGCAACCGCAACAAACAAACAAAAAACATGAACAAGAAAACTTCTTAAAGTGACTATATGACTAAGTGGGGGCGGGTCAGAAAGTTACAGCAACAAAAAATACAACAACACAATAGGAGTGAAAAGAAAGGTCAGCAATTCACACATTTTTATTTTATTTGACCAGGTTAAGCTCGCTGAGCTATTAGCTTATTATTCAGAAGCGACCTGGCCACAGAGGATAGCCCAACGAAGTGGCTTATCATGTGGAAATGTGTCACAGCCAAACAATCTAAATAGTCTAAACGCGTGTTTCGAAATGTGGAGGACAAAACCGGAGGGCCCGGAGAAGAAATAAATACGTGATCACAGGGAGCGAGACATCAGAATCTGAATATTCATTTAGGCTGGAAGAATCCGATGAACTGTAAAGCTTTTAAATTTCGATTTAAAGCTTTCGTGACTGCAGGGATTCATCTTCTTGGTTCTTTCGGTAAAGTCACGTAGAAGGGAAGTAATAAAATAATAAAAAGAAAACATTGTATTTTATTACGTTTTATTTTTGTTATTTTATTATTTCCCTTCTGCGTGACTTTACCGAAAGAACCAAGAAGAACTGTAAAGCTCTTTATCAGCGATATCCAGTCGGGGCAGGTCAGAAAGTTACAACAAACCAAGCGAAAACAATTGCGTGAGTGGAAAGCAAAGGAAAGCCAAGCTAGTCACTCAATAAAATTAAACAAAGTTCGCAAGTACAAATTGCGTAAGTACATCAATTCCTCCAGATTTCTCAAAACCAAATTGCAATCTTGGGGCAAGGCAGCAAAGCGAAAACAAAAACAGACCCAGACCACAACAAGACAGCACACAGTCCGTCAGCAACGTTGCACACCTAGCATGTCACGAGCGTTACCACTGCGGTGCCGCACGTTTGATGCGGGAGGAACCTAGGAGCTCGGCTCTGCGGAGCCGTTCGTGGTGGTGGGGGGGTAGATGGCGCGGCTGGGCGGATGTGTGCCGGCATGCGGTGGGGGGGGAAGCTGTGGTGAGCCCAGGGGCCAGCGCCACACTGCCAGGTGTAGGCCACGATTACCCCCCCTCACCCTCCCTCACCCGTACCCGCGGCCTCTTCGCACGACGCCACCACCGCACCGCCACCTGAAACACCGGCGCTGCCAAATACGGCTCCTCCAGGCACCCCCCTGCGTTTGGTCACGTGAATGTGGTGTCGCCGCAGGTGCTGACGGCGTGGAGGGGCTTCCTGCTGTCGACTCGCACCCCGAACAAGGTACCACCGCTGCCTTGGCCGCCTCTGCCTCTGCCGCGTGCCCCCCTTCGTCGAACGGCAAAGCGTTGACGTTGTCGTCGTCGGCCGTCCGTCGTCGAAGTGCGCTTCGCATCGGTCGCACCTCGGCGATGATCGCTCGGTTTTGTCCGAATGTCGAGCGAAAACGTTGTGGCGTTGCCTCCGTTGGTTGGGGCGGTCTGGAGGCCGCCGGCAACGTTTTTGGGCACGTAACCGTGATGCAAATCAACGACTCCCGATTCCTACGACCCCGTCCCCTCGTCCCTCCCTCCCCCGCACCACCGCCACTCCAGCGATTTGATAAACGTCACAATTTTGAATTGCGATTGGATTTCGGAATCACTTTTTGTTAATTGGTTTTCTACCCTTCTATCTGGCAACAAAACTGACACCTTTTTTACAAGGAGTCATGTTTGCATAGACCACAATACCTGCAGTCATAATGCAAACAAAAAACATAACTCTGATAATGTATGCACTGTCCTTGAAGTTGATTGGTCCACACCCGAGACAGCATTATGACTGCATCAGCCAATATTTTGGTCTATGCAAACATGACTCCTTGTAAAAAGGTGTCAGTTTTGTTGCCATATAGAAGGGTAAAAAAACAATTATCATATTTTTACTGGCAAATGAGGTTCCAATGGTGTCACTTTTTGTTGTTTATCATCGCGGCGAATTGTAGCACTTCAGAGTGGATGCCGAGGTGACGTGAACCGTTGACCCCAACGAGCGCCATTCGGTGCGTGTATGGTTAGCTCACGGTTATCTTTCGACGTGCATCGATGATTCACATCCGTCGTTCCACCCCGAGCGATTGTTTTGACGTTCACTTGGGATGCAGTTATTCACCTCCCTTCCCCTCCAACCGCCAGCGATTCAGTGCGTGTGAAAATCGATCCGAGAGTCACATTCTCCTTCTTGGTTCTTTCGGTAAAGTCACGTAGAAGGGAAATAATAAAAGAATAAAAATAAAACATTAAATAATTCTCACGACGTTTCGGCCACAACGCAAGCAGCAGTCCTCAGGTGAAGAACAGGTCTGTCGGAAAGACAGCGGAATATGCAAATTACTTTGTCAAGGCGCCCCTTCCACCCTCCAACCCATCTTAAATATACGCTGCCAAGCCTGGTGGTGCCCATTCAGACGCTGTCTTTCCGACAGACCTGTTCTTCACCTGAGGACGGCTGCTTGCGTTGTGGCCGAAACGTCGTGAGAATTGTATTTTATAATGTTTTATTTTTATTATTTTATTATTTCCCTTCTACGTGACTTTACCGAAAGAACCAAGAAGATGAATCCCTGCAGTCACGAAAGCTTTAAATCGAAAAGTCACATTCTCGTTGCCTTTTGTTTTCACCGTCTCGTTTGTTCGGCCCGTTGGCGTCATCACGATCGCTCATTTACCCAGGGAAGCCTCGCCGAGTCTCATGACTCCTTTACAAGAGGGTCCTGCCAATTTTTTTTTTTTGCAGTGGGGGATTTGGGGGGGGGGTGGGCGATGTTACTGCTGTGTGTATAATCCAAATCTCGCTTCTCTTATTCCTTATAATGTCCCATCTCGGCCCCTGCATTCACAATCTCTGTTGTCCATCACTACGCCCCCCCCCCGCCTCCCTGTGCTCAGCCATGTTTCCACTTCACTAAAACATTTTTCATTCATCCCATAAGACTCATCTTTTTTCAAAAGCGTATCCCTCCACTATCTTAAATTTGGAGCTTTCGTGACTGCAGGAATTACTCTTTGGTTCTTTCGGTAAAGTCACGTATAAGGATAAAATAATAAATCGTCGTATGCTATTATTTAATTTATTATTTTATCCTTATACCTGACTTTACCGAAAGAACCAAAGAGTAATCCCTCTACTACTTTCTGTCCTCGCCCTTAAAACCTTGACCATCCTCCCCCTTTCCCTTCCAAACCTCGCCCCTCCTTTTCCCTGTCATCACCCTTCCTTGCCATCCCTTCCCTTCCCCAACACTCAAATCCCATCGCTTTACCCCATCAGCCAATACTAATGCACCATTTCTAATTCTTGTGAAGCGCTTTGACAGGAGCGCTATATACAATACTAGAAAAGACAAGATAATCCCCGACGAAATTTCTTTCAAATCTGGCAAACGTGGACCGTGACGCCGGCGTACTATGCTCGCTCTTGCGAATGACGTCACGGGATCTTTGAAGTCCACTGTGAGTGAAGCGGACGGCGCGTAGTGTCGTTGACGGTTAACACCGCACCACCGCATGAATGGCCCGGGGCAGCCGCTGGATTCAAACCGTTAACTTCTGCATAAAGTAGTGAATCCACTGCCGCTGGGCCAGCGACAGAGGTCGCAACTGGGTACCCGATACCCGTACCCTACCCGATACCCAGCTACCCGTTTGCGATCCTGGTGCGGCCGGGTACGGGTACGGGTAGGCCGTGAGTCACTGGTGAGTAACCGTTTGTCACTCATTTCGGGTAGGGTACGGGTAGGGTACGGGTAGGGAACGGGTACCTGTACCCGGCCGGGTACGGGTACGGGTACCCATTTGCGACCCTGGTGCGGCCGGGTACGGGTACGGATAAGGAATCAAAACCCGTTTGCGACCTCTGGCCAGCGATAAAAGTAACATTTGCATATCATCATCATCAGCAGCCATGATCCATCCCCTGTTGGATGAAGGCCTCCTCAAGCCGCCCCCATCTCTCACGATCCTTAAGTGCAACGGTCCGCTCAGCACCTCCACACGAGCTGGTCTCGTCACTCCATCTCCCCAGTCGATGTCCTCTCGGATGAGTTCCATTACCTAGCTGCCACTCCGTTTTTATTCTTCTCGGCCATCGCGCATCATCTCTGACGTATCCTGCCCAAGCCCCGCTCACTTTTCTAAACAATTTAGATGTCTTTGGTTCTTTCGGTAAAGCCACGTAGGTATTCCCTGTCATTAATTTATTTTGTTTTATACCTACGTGACTTTACCGAAAGAACCAAAGAGTATGGATCCCTGCAGTCACGAAAACTTCAAATCTAGATTGAATTTAGATGTCATTGCCTTTTATAGTTATCTAATGCTTGTGTTCCTCGTTCTGTGTCCCGTCACGCTGGTGAGATGTACACTCCCTCGCCTGGCATGCAGGAGACCGTGGGTTCAATCCCGACCCTGACGATGCCTGCTGTTGTATATTTGGAATTTGCGTCTTTCTCTCCCCGTGATCGCGTGGATTTCTGCGGGTCCTCCGGTTTTCCCCTCCACATTTCGAATCAATGTGCGCTTAGAGTATTTGGCTGCTGTACATTTCCCACATGGTAAGCCACTTCCTCGAGCTCTCATTCGTGACAGCCAGCTCGCTTCTGAACAAGAGTTCCACATAGCTCAGTGAGCCTTACCTGGTAAAACAAAAACGCACAGTACTGTAATTCGTTTCATTCTATTGGACGAACGGACGCATCGTCCGTCTGGTGACAAATATTTGGCCACAGCGATGGCCGCCCGGACGGAACCGCCTCTCCGCCGAGGGCGGCCGCTGTCTCGTACGTCCGTGACGCCGGTTCCTCGCGCTCCTTTTCAGGTGGAGTCCACGTTCCACTTTTTGGAGATCCAGGCAGCCACACTCAAGGGCAACAAGGTGAGAGAGGCAGCTCCTGGGGCTGGGCAGCATAAGACGGTAGGGGGGATGGGGGGGGCGGCAGTGAAAATATTATTTGGGAGGGATAAAATATATTTTTCAAATCATTTATGTTGTTTCAAAGTTGCCACTAGCAGAGCGCGTGGCACGCTCATGCATGCCCGGCAGAGGTCGCAACCGGGTACCCGATACCCGTACCCTACCCGATACTTGGCTACCCGTACCCGCCCGGGTACGGGTACGGGTACCCTTTTGCGACCCTGGTGCGGCCGGGTACGGGTACGGGTTGGCCGTGAGTCACTGGTGAGTAACCGTTTGTCACTCATTTCGGGTAGGGTACGGGTACGGGTAGGGAACAGGTACCCGTACCTGGCCGGGTACGGGTACCCATTTGCGACGCTGGTGCGGCCGAGTACGGGTACGGGTAAGGAATCAAAACCCGTTTGCGACCTCTGATGCCCGGGGTGCCACAGCGGGTTCACCGATTGCGCCGGTCTGCCACACGGTGACTTGGGGCTGTCTAGTGTTTGGAGATTGATTGTCTAAATGAATGAAGTTGCGTGGGTCCACCTGTTGAGTCTGCCACGGGCCATGCTAAGCGGTGACCTTGCGCCAGAGGTCGCAAACGGGTTTTGATTCCTTACTCGTACCCGTACCTGGCCGCACCAGGGTCGCAAACGGGTACCCGTACCCGTACCCGGCCGTACCCGTACCCTACCCGTACCCGGCCGGGTACGGGTAGAGTACGGGTATCGGGTACCCGATTGCGACCTCTGAGATGAAGCCATGTTGCAGGCGCGGGTGGGTTGATTCTAGGAACTTGAATTGTGAGAAGAGACAAGACGTTGGGAAATGAGTGACAAACAGTTACTCACTAGTGACTCACGGCCTACCCATACCCGGCCACACCAGGGTCGCAAACGGGTACCCGTACCCGTACCCGGCCGGGTACGGGTAGCCGGATATCGGGTAGGGTACGGGTATCGGGTACCCAGTTGCGACCTCTGCCTTGCGCTCTCTGTCGCCGGCTCTCGAGGGGTTTTACTGCAGCTACCGCACGTGGCGAGATGTTAACCACCTCGCCTGGTATGCAGGAGGTCGTGGCTTCGATTCCGACCCTGGCGTCCCCTCTATATTTGGAGTTTGCATGCTCTCCCAGTGGTCGTATGGATTTTTCTACGGTTTTTCCCTCCACATTTATAGCTGACGCACGTTTAGATTATTTGGCTGCTCGTAAATTTCGACGTGATGACAATCCACTACGTTGAGCTATCATTTGTGATAGTTTATAGTTTTAAGTAACTCAAGAGCAGATCCGCTTTCGTTTATTGTGGTTGGTGCTACGCGGTGGTAGATTTATAACAAAATTGCTGTCGTGAACCTCTAATCGGTGTGGTTTTGTCTGTGTCGTGTTATTTGGCGTTGTTACATGGATGCTGTTGTTATTGAGTTGTTTTTGATGTCGTTGTGTCTTCTTTTGTTGATGTTCTTGATGTCATCGTTTATGTTGTTTATGTTATTGTTTATATTTCATGTTATTGTTTATGTTGACGATGATGTTACGGGCCATTTTGTTGAGTTGTTGATGATGTTATTGTTGATCATGTTGTTGAGCAGTTGTTGTTGTTGTTGAGCAGTTGCTGCTAGAGACGGAGCGGGTCGGCGTCACCATGGCGATGAGCTCTGCGGAGGAGGCCGACGTCGTTCTGGTGCACATCATGGTCGCCGCACAGGCCGCAGTGCCCGGGGTCAGCCCTCCGTGAGTCTACAACAACCTCAGCCAACACAACAACCACAACCACAACAAACACAACACAACCACAACAAACACAACACAACCACAACAAACACAACGACAGCATGGTGGCCGCGGTGCCCGGGGTCAGCCCTCCGTGAGTCCACAACGATCTCAGCCAACACAACAACCACAACCACAACACAACCACAACAACCACAATCACAACAAACACAACAAACACAACGACAGCATGGTCGCCGCGGTGCCCGTGGTCAGCCCTCCGTGATTCCACAACAACCTCAGCCAACACAACAACCACAACCACAACAAACACAACACAACCACAACAAACACAACGACAGCATGGTGGCCGCCCTGCCCGGGGTCAGCCCTCTGTGAGTCCACAACGATCTCAGCCAACACAACAACCACAACCACAACAACCACAACCAGAACAAACACAACACAACCACAACAAACACAACAAACACAACCACAACAAACACAACGACAGCATGGTGTCCGCAGTTCCCGGGGTCAGCCCTCCGTGAGTCCACAACAACCTCAGCCAACACAACAACCACAACAAACACAAACACAACAACCACAACAAACACAACCACAACAAACACAACAACCACAACCACAACAAACACAACACAACAAACACAACCACAACAAACACAACCACAACAAACACAACCACAACAAACACAACGACAGCATGGTGGCCGCCGTGCCCGGGGTCAGCCCTCCGTGAGTCCGCAACAACCTCAGTCAACACAACAAACACAACCACAACACAACCACAACAAACACAACGACAGCATGGTGGCCGCAGTGCCCGGGGTCAGCCCCCCGTGAGTCCACAATAACCTCACCCAACACAACAACCGCGACACATACAACAAACACAACACAAACACAACCACAACAAACATAACCACAAATCAACAACCACAACACAACAAACAAAACGACAGCATGGTCGCCGCAGTGCCCGGGGTCAGCCCCCCGTGAGTCTACAACAACCTCACCCAACACAACAACCGCGACACATACAACAAACACAACACAAACACAACCACAACAAACATAACCACAAGTCAACAACCACAACACACACAAAAACCACGACACACACAACCACAACGCAGAGCCACAACAGACACAACCACAACACAAACACAACAGCCACAACACAACCACAACACAAACACAACCACAACGCACACAAACACAACCACAACACACACAAACACAACCACAACAAACACAACGACCACATCGCAGCAGTGACCCTCGCTGCCGTTGTTGTTTACAATTTGATTCTTCCGCTTGTTTACCGAGGAGAGCCTTGCCGAGTCTCAAGACTCGTTTTTTCAAGAGGGTCCTGCCAGGTCTTCGCAGTAGCGTTGCGATGCTGCTCACCGCGATCCCAATTGAGTAACATTTCAGGAATTTGGGGCAATGCCAGTTACATTGCTTGTTTTTTTCTTTATTTTAGCTAAGCGAGGAAACCCCTGTAGAACAGGGGTAGAGGAGACACACTCCACACACTCACGCTTACTCACAAAGATAGAGATCCACCCTATAGCCTTGACAGACTGTTGGGGCAAGTGCTGTTAGCGAGTAGCACCTATGAAGGCCGGCACGGCGCACGAGGAGGTGGGTGGCCACCACCACACCCGGCCGCCTTTGCCTCGCTCGTCGCGGTGTTTTAGCAAACTGCATCAGGTACTAATTTGAGGCTGAGTCGACCTTGGTGATGCCCAGGACCCATTCATATCATCATCACTGGTCTTGGCCGTGAGCAGGAATCGAACTCGGGTGAACCGGGTTCGTAGCGCAGTGCGCTAACCGCTACGCTACCGCTCCCCACGGGGTCGTTAAAATCTTGCCACCGTGCGGGAAAACATACGAAGACGGAACAGAGTGAGAACATACAAACGCCGATAGGCACGTGAATCGAGAGTCGAACCCAGGAACCCTTTCGTCCCATGAAGGCGCGAGGGTTACCACTGCGCCGCCAATGCCCTTGCCTTGCGAGCCTCTAGGCTGAGACAGACTTCACTGCGCGTGACACCGGGGTCGCAAGAGCACATGGCGCGATTGACCTATGACCCCTTTCCCACTCGCATGGCAGACAAACGCGGCCTCTGTGGCGGCACGCGTGTAAACGGGACAGTGCGCGATAGCCACCTCGATTCTCAAGCCCGCTGACAGCACTTGCCCCAACAGTCTGTTAAGGCTATACGACGGGCTCTTTGTCTTTGTGCGTGTGTGCGTTCGCCAGTTTCTTGAAGAGGCTGACTCTGGACATGCACGAGCGGGCGAACTCCTTGCAGACAGCCTGGGCCCGGCAGAGCATTGTGGATATGGGGCCTTGTGGTGCGTGCGCTCCGCACCGCGCTTCTCACGGTCCGCCGCGGGGTGGGGGTTCAGAGGGCGGTCGTGGTGCCGACAGCTGTCGTGGCCCCGGTTGGGGCTTCGAGGGTGCCGTACGGCAGCTGTTGCCGGTTGACCGCCGTCAGCCGGCTGTCTGTGTATGTGTGACGTCTACGCGCGGTGACGTCCGGGTGTGGTGCTGTGTGTGTGACGTTTGTGTTTTGTGCCACCTGTGTGTGTGACGTCTGTGTGTTGTGCCGCGTGTGTGTGTGTGCGACGTCTGTGTGTGGTGCCCCATGTGTGTGTGATGTCTGTGCGTTGTGCTGCGTGTGTGCGTGTGACATCTGTATGTGGTGCCCCATGCGTGTGTGTGTGATGTCTCTGCATTGTGCTGCGTGTGTGTGTGTGTGTGCGACGTCTGTATGTGCGATGTCTGTGTGTGGTGCCCCATGTGTGCGTGTGTGATGTCTGTGCGTTGTGCTGCGTGTGTGTGTGTGACATCTGTGTGTGATGCCCCATTGTGTGTGTGTGATGTCTGTGCGTTGTGCTGCGTGTATGTGTGTGTGATGTTTGTGCGTTGTGCTGCGTGTGTGTGTGATGTTTGTGCGTTGTGCTGCGTGTGTGTGTGATGTTTGTGCGTTGTGCTGCGTGTGTGTGTGATGTTTGTGCATTGTGCTGCGTGTGTGTGTGTGATGTTTGTGCGTTGTGCTGCGTGTGTGTGTGTGTGTGATGTCTGTGCGTTGTGCTGCGTGTGTGTGTGTGATGTTTGTGCATTGTGCTGCGTGTGTGTGTGTGATGTCTGTGCGTCGTGCTGCGTGTGTGCGTGTGTGTGATGTTTGTGCGTTGTGCTGCGTGTGTGTGTGTGATGTTTGTGCGTTGTGCTGCGTGTGTGTGTGTGATGTTTGTGCGTTGTGCTGCGTGTGTGTGTGTGTGATGTTTGTGCGTTGTGCTGCGTGTGTGTGTGTGTGTGATGTTTGTGCGTTGTGCTGCGTGTGTGTGTGCGTGTGTGCGTGTGTGTGTACGTGTGTGTGTGCGTGTGTGTGTGTGCGTGTTGTTTGTGCGTTGTGCTGCGTGTGTGTGTGCGTGTGTGTGTGTGTGATGTTTGTGCGTTGTGCTGCGTGTGTGTGTGTGTGATGTTTGTGCGTTGTGCTGCGTGTGTGTGTGCGTGATGTCTGTGCGTTGTGCTGCGTGTGTGTGTGTGTGATGTTTGTGCTGCGTGTGTGTGTGTGTGATGTTTGTGCTGCGTGTGTGTGTGTGTGATGTTTGTGCTGTGTGTGTGTGTGTGCGACGTCTGCGCGAGTAGGAGGATTCTCACAGACGTATGCTTGCGTCTGCGATCAGCTGGGCCTGCCCTGCCGGGAAGAGGTGCAGTGGGTGAGCTACCTCACTCACTTCACTGCGCCATCATCATCGTCATCATAATCATTGTATATAACACGACATATATACATTGCATTCTATTGTTCATATTTTTTGGGACTTTTTTTGGCCCTCAATTTTATCCAGATTGTGCTAGGAATGTGTCATCTGGTGAGATGAAGAATCCATTTGTAACTCGCAGTGCTATGCGAAACCCTTACAGAGCAGCCTGCACAAGTGGATATCACCACAGACTCACTTGTGAGATCCCTTCAAGCGACCTTCAATGAATGCGATGGCTGCTGAAGTGTGCAAACATTAGCGGGGAGAAGACAAAGACGGCCATGCATGGTGTTGGCCACACTACCTCTTCGTGCACCGTGCCGGCCTTAATCGGTGCACGCAAACAGCACTGGGCACAACAGCCTGTTAAAGGCTTCACGGGGGAACTGTGCGTGTGTGTGCGTGTGTGCGTGTGCGTGTGTGTGCGTGTGTGTGTGTGCGCGTGTGTGTGTGTGTGTGCGTGTGTGTGTGTGCGTGTGTGTGTGTGTGCGTGTGTGTGTGTGTCTGCAGGACGTGGACACCATCTACCTGTCCCACGACTCACGCGAGCTCAGCCTCAATGACTTCAGCCACCTGGACGGCAGGTGCACCTCAACTGCGCGCGCAGACACGCGCAGACACGCGCAGACACTTGCAGATATGCTCAGACACGCTCAGACACTTGCAGACACGCGCAGACACGCTCAGACACTCGCAGATATGCTCAGACACGCTCAGACACGCTCCGACACGCGCAGACACGCGCAGACACTCGCAGATATGCTCAGACACGCGCAGACACACTCCGACACGCGCAGACACGCGCAGACACGCTCAGACACTCGCAGATATGCTCAGACACGCTCAGACACTTGCAGACACTTGCAGACACGCGCAGACACGCGTAGACACGCGCAGACACGCGCAGACACGCTCAGACACTTGCAGACACGCTCCGACACGCTCCGACACGCTCCGACACGCGCAGACACACGCAGACACGCGCAGACACGCTCAGACACTTGCAGACACGCTCCGACACGCTCCGACACGCGCAGACACACGCAGACACGCGCAGACACGTTCAGACACACTTTCACTTGCGCATGCGCAGCCCGCGTGAGTGATGAGAGAGTGCCGCCGAACCAGAGAGAGTGCCGACCTGACATGTCGCTCGTGTGTGCGTGTGTGTGTGCGTGTGTGTGCGTTTATGCGTGCGTGCATGTGTGCGTGTGTACGTGCGTGTATGCGTGAGTGTGTATGTGTGCGTGCGTGTGTGCGTGTGTGTGTGCGTGTGTGCGTGCGTGCGTGCGTGTGTGCGTGCGTGTATGCGTGCGTGTGTGTGCGTGCATGCGTGTGTGCGTGTATGCGTGCGTGTATGCGTGCGTGCATGTGTGCGTGTGTGCGTGTGTGCGTGCGTGCATGTGTGTGTGTGTACGTGCGTGTATGCGTGCGTGTTTGTGTGCGTGTGTACGTACGTGTATGCGTGAGTGTGTATGTGTGTATGTGTGTGTGCGTGTGTGCGTGTGTGCGTGCGTGTGTGCGTGTGTGTGTGTGCGTATGAGTGTGTTTATGCGTGCGTGCATGTGTGCGTGTGTGCGTGCGTGTGTACGTGCGTGTATGCGTGCGTGTGTACGTGCGTGTATGTGTGCGTGCGCGTGCACCCAGGGACCTGGTCCCCATCGTTGCGACGCTCGAGTTCAGCTCCTGGTTCACCAAGCTGCACTGCAAGGACGTCCGGCTGGTGTGTGACGATTTGGGCTGAAACGCGCGACGGGTTTGTTCGCCGCGCTCTCGACTCGGAGAGTTGTGGTCGCGATTCGAGAAGCTGTCCTCCCAGCGTGCCTCGATTTCACCGGCCCATTATCAGCCCGCTGCCGGGCGAAGGCGTCTCGGTGCCATGTCGGTTTATGGGCATTGTGCGACCATACTTCACCACGCTGGTCAAATGTAGGGTCGGTGTAGAGAAGGCCCAGAGGCCCGGTTCAGATGTCACCACTCGCCAGTGATGTCAGCCGTGGCGGGGAATAAAACTTGGGTTGCCGGGTTCATAGCGCAATGCGCTAACCATTGCACCACTGCTCCTTTCGACACTTCACGCGGCCTCAAAGTGCACCAAGCCTGGCACAAGCACCGTGGTTATGTCACCGCCACTTACTGGTGAATGCCGGTTATTGTTGCTTTGTGTATTTGTGCGCATGGTGCATCTGTGCGCATGCCGTGTGTGTGTGTATGGTGTGAATGTGTGTGTGCATGGTGTGTGTATGTGTGCGTGGTGTGTGCGCGTGTCGATGGTGTGTGTCTTTCTGTCCACGGCGTGTGTGTGTTGATGATGCGTGTATGTGTGTGTGGTGTGTGTGTGTTGATGGTGCGTGTATGTGTGTGTGGTGTGTGTGTGTGTTGATGATGCGTGTATGTGTGTGTGGTGTGTGTGTGTTGATGGTGCGTGTATGCGTGTGTGTGTTGATGATGCGTGTATGTGTGTGTGTGTGTGTGTTGATGGTGCGTGTATGTGTGTGTGTGTTGATGGTGCGTGTATGTGTGTGTGGTGTGTGTGTTGATGGTGCGTGTATGTGTTGTGTGTGTGTGTTGATGGTGCGTGTATGTGTGTGTGGTGTGTGTGTGTTGATGATGCGTGTATGTGTGTGTGGTGTGTGTGTGTGTTGGTGGTGCGTGTATGTGTGTGTGGTGTGTGTGTTGATGGTGCGTGTATGTGTGTGTGGTGTGTGTGTGTTGATGGTGCGTGTATGCGTTTGTGTGTTGATGGTGCGTGTATGTGTGTGTGTGTTGATGGTGCGTGTATGTGTGTGTGGTGTGTGTGTTGATGGTGCGTGTATGTGTGTGTGTGTTGATGGTGCGTGTATGTGTGTGTGGTGTGTGTGTGTGTGTGTTGATGGTGCGTGTATGTGTGTGGTGTGTGTGTGTGTGTTGATGGTGCGTGTATGTGTGTGGTGTGTGTGTGTTGATGATGCGTGTATGTGTGTGTGGTGTGTGTGTGTGTTGATGGTGCGTGTATGTGTGTGTGGTGTGTGTGTGTGTTGATGGTGCGTGTATGCGTGTGTGGTGTGTGTGTGTGTTGATGGTGCGTGTATGCGTGTGGTGTGTGTGTGTGTGTTGATGGTGCGTGTATGTGTGTGTGATGTGTGTGTGTTGATGGCGCGTGTATGTGTGTGTGGTGTGTGTGTGTGTTGATGGTGCGTGTATGTGTGTGTGGTGTGTGTGTGTGTTGATGGTACGTGTATGCGTGTGGTGTGTGTGTGTGTTGATGATGCGTGTATGCGTGTGTGGTGTGTGTGTGTTGATGGTGCGTGTATGTGTGTGTGGTGTGTGTGTGTTGATGGTGCGTGTATGTGTGTGTGGTGTGTGTGTGTGTTGATGGTGGGTGTATGTGTGTGTGGTGTGTGTGTGTGTTGATGGTGCGTGTATGCGTGTGTGGTGTGTGTGTGTGTTGATGGTGCGTGTATGTGTGTGTGGTGTGTGTGTGTGTTGATGGTGCGTGTATGTGTGTGTGGTGTGTGTGTGTGTTGATGGTGCGTGTATGTGTGTGTGGTGTGTGTGTGTGTTGATGGTGCGTGTATGTGTGTGTGGTGTGTGTGTGTGTTGATGGTGCGTGTATGTGTGTGTGGTGTGTGTGTGTGTTGATGGTGCGTGTATGTGTGTGTGGTGTGTGTGTGTGTTGATGGTGCGTGTATGTGTGTGTGGTGTGTGTGTGTGTTGATGGTGCGTGTATGTGTGTGTGGTGTGTGTGTGTGTTGATGATGCGTGTATGTGTGTGTGGTGTGTGTGTGTGTTGATGATGCGTGTATGTGTGTGTGGTGTGTGTGTGTGTTGATGGTGCGTGTATGTGTGTGGTGTGTGTGTGTGTTGATGGTGCGTGTATGTGTGTGTGGTGTGTGTGTGTGTTGATGATGCGTGTATGTGTGTGTGGTGTGTGTGTGTGTTGATGGTGCGTGTATGGTGTGTGTGTGTGTTGATGGTGCGTGTATGTGTGTGTGGTGTGTGTGTGTGTTGATGGTGAGTGTATGTGTGTGTGTTGTGTGTGTGTGTTGATGGTGCGTGTATGTGTGTGTGGTGTGTGTGTGTGTTGATGATGCGTGTATGCGTGTGTGGTGTGTGTGTGTGTTGATGGTACGTGTATGTGTGTGTGGTGTGTGTGTGTGTTGATGGTGCGTGTATGTGTGTGTGGTGTGTGTGTGTGTTGATGGTGCGTGTATGTGTGTGTGGTGTGTGTGTTGATGGTGCGTGTATGTGTGTGTGGTGTGTGTGTGTTGATGGTGCGTGTATGCGTGTGTGTGTTGATGGTGCGTGTATGTGTGTGTGTGTTGATGGTGCGTGTATGTGTGTGGTGTGTGTGTGTGTGTTGATGGTGCGTGTATGTGTGTGGTGTGTGTGTGTGTGTGTTGATGATGCGTGTATGTGTGTGTGGTGTGTGTGTGTGTTGATGGTGCGTGTATGTGTGTGTGGTGTGTGTGTGTGTTGATGGTGCGTGTATGTGTGTGTGGTGTGTGTGTGTGTTGATGGTGCGTGTATGCGTGTGGTGTGTGTGTGTGTGTTGATGGTGCGTGTATGTGTGTGTGATGTGTGTGTGTTGATGGCGCGTGTATGTGTGTGTGGTGTGTGTGTGTGTTGATGGTGCGTGTATGTGTGTGTGGTGTGTGTGTGTGTTGATGGTGGGTGTATGTGTGTGTGGTGTGTGTGTGTGTTGATGGTGCGTGTATGTGTGTGGTGTGTGTGTGTGCTGATGGTGCGTGTATGCGTGTGTGGTGTGTGTGTGTGTTGATGGTGGGTGTATGCGTGTGTGTGTGGTGTGTGTGTTGATGGTGCGTGTATGTGTGTGTGGTGTGTGTGTGTGTTGATGGTGCGTGTATGTGTGTGTGGTGTGTGTGTGTGTTGATGGTGCGTGTATGTGTGTGTGGTGTGTGTGTGTGTTGATGGTGCGTGTATGCGTGTGTGTGCACCAGTCTGCAGAGGTCTGCGAGCAAGTGCTGCGCGTGATGTCGCGATCCTCGCGCCTGGAGGAGCTGGTGCTCGAGAACGTTGGGCTCAAGTCGTGAGTGCTCACTTAGCATTGCATGCTGGGATATGCACAGGGGCATTCTGGGACGGGCACAGGTGCATGCTGGGCCTCGGTGGCTGCACTGCCGCTTCACGCCAGCTGCCATACCGCCACCGCCGCCACAACAAATAGAGTCCCGAACAACAACAACAATAACACCAATAACAACAACAACAACTTCAGGAACTTGATTGAGACCGGTTCAGTTCCTGAAGAAGGTCCCAGCACTTGGTGCAAAATGTCAGAGGTCGTGCCGAATAACAGGCTGTGCAACCTGAACACATATGGGTGAGCTATACAACACAACAGCGAAACCCTACGTAGTAACAATTTGTGTGTACGTATGTATGTTGAACTTTTTTCGCAACGTACGTAGCCAACCGTGCTGCAAATCGGAGGTGCGGGGGAAAGACAACAAACTAAACACAAAAAGTAGTTAGAAAGAAATGAATTTTTCAATCGAGATTTTAAAGTGCATAGCTCCAGATTTGTAAAACTCCAAATCTACCACTCGGTTGTGAAATGGCCAGAAGAGAGTAGCACAGCAAGGGAATTTGCGAACGTGTCTGTCCGGAGATTTGAGTGTTGTTCCCTCGAATGCGCGGATTTTTCCCGGGTTTCTTCCGTTGTGCACAGGAAGGTGCGATTTGTAAAACACGGCGGTGTTCACAGCAGTGGCATCTTTCGTAAATCGAGACACAGGGAAACTTAGTTTGGCCAAAGCAACGTTTCCAAGATTTGCATCTCCCTCCCCCGTGTACTGCTGCGCTGTTTCCTCCTCCTCCTCCTCCTCATCGTCCTCCTCCTCCTTCCTCTTCCTCCTGCCAGTGATTTTCTGCAGAAACTTGCCACGGCTTTGACCCAAAATCCTGCCAGCTGCCTCCACTCCATAAATGTGTCCAACAACAGCCTGGAGGACCGAGGTGAACACCGAACACACGCACAGACGCGGCACTGCACACCCACTGCATCGCACAGACACGGCACTGCACACCCGCTGCATCGCACAGACGCGGCACTGCACACCCGCTGCACAGCACAGACGCGGCACTGCACACCCGCTGCATCGCACAGACACGGCACTGTACACCCGCTGCATCGCACAGACACGGCACTGCATACCCGCTGCATCGCACAGACACGGCACCGCACACAGCACAGCACTGCACAGACGCGGCACTGCACACCCGCTGCATCGCACAGACGCGGCACTGCACACAGCACAGCACTGCACAGACACGGCACTGCACACCCGCTGCATCGCACAGAAACAGCACCACACAGACACGGCACCACACACAGCACAGCACCACACAGATGCTGCACGGCACTCAGCAATGCATTCATCGATTGGAATTGTGCATAGCAAGTTGCGCCTCTTACTGGCAGACCACAGAACTTGGGCTTGTGCGGTCTACAGTTTCCCGTGCGTTTTTGAGATGTAATTTGCATGAATGACGCGATAAAAAATAAACGATTCTATCTACTAACCCATAGCTCCTCCGCTCACCATGCTTGCACGTGTGTGTGCGCCCTCATGCACGTGCAGGGCTGTATCAGCTGAGTCAGCAGCTGAGCCGACTTGGCAAGGGACTACGCAGTCTCAACCTGTCCCGCACAGCGCTCACGCTCAAAGGTACGATCACTCACTCACTCACTCGGTCAGCTAGCCACTCACTTGCCCGCTCACATGCGTGCTCACTCACTCAGTCAGCGAGCAACTCACCCGCTCACTCATGCACATGCTCACTCACTCGGTCAGCTAGCCACTCACCCGCTCACTCACGCACGTGCGCACTCACTCACTCGGTCAGCTAGCCACTCACTTGCCCGCTCACATGCGTGCTCACTCACTCACTCGGTCAGCTAGCCACTAACCCGCTCGCTCACTCACATGCTCACTCACTCAGTCAGCGAATAACTCACCCGTTCGCTCGCTCACACACATGCTAACTCATTCACTCAGTCAGCGAGCCACTCACCCGCTCACTCACGCACGTGCTCACTCACTCACGTGCTCACTCACTCACTCGGTCAGCTAGCCACTCACTTGCCCGCTCACATGCGTGCTCACTCACTCACTCGGTCAGCTAGCCACTAACCCGCTCGCTCACTCACATGCTCACTCACTCAGTCAGCGAATAACTCACCCGTTCGCTCGCTCACACACATGCTAACTCATTCACTCAGTCAGCGAGCCACTCACCCGCTCACTCACGCACGTGCTCACTCACGCACTCGGTCAGCTAGCCACTCACTTGCCCGCTCACATGCGTGCTCACTCACTCACTCGGGCAGCTAGCCACTAACCCGCTCGCTCACTCACATGCTCACTCACTCAGTCAGCGAATAACTCACCCGTTCGCTCGCTCACACACATGCTAACTCATTCACTCAGTCAGCGAGCCACTCACCCGCTCACTCACGCACGTGCTCACTCACGCACTCGGTCAGCTAGCCACTCACTTGCCCGCTCACATGCGTGCTCACTCACTCACTCGGGCAGCTAGCCACTAACCCGCTCGCTCGCTCACATGCTCACTCACTCAGTCAGTGAGCAACTCACCCGCTCGTTCGCTCACACACATGCTCACTCACTCACTCAGTCAGCTAGCCACTCACCTGCTCGCTCACATGCATGCTCACTCATTTACTCAGTCAGCTAGCCACTAACTCGCTCACTCACTCACATGCTCACTCACTCAGTCAGCGAGCAACTCACCCGCTCGTTCGCTCACACACATGTTCACTCACTCAGTCAGCTAGCCGCTCACCCGCTCGCTCACTCACATGCTCACTCACTCAGTCAGCGAGCAACTCACCCGCTCACTCACGCACGTGCGCACTCACTCAGTCAGCTAGCCACGAACCCGCTCGCTCACTCACATGCTCACTCACTCAGTCAGCGAGCAACTCACCCGCTCGTTCGCTCACACACATGCTAACTCATTCACTCAGTCAGCTAGCCACGAACCCGCTCGCTCACTCACATGCTCACTCACTCACTCGGTCAGCTAGCCACTCATCCGCTTGCTTACGCACGCTCTCGTTTTCTCACTCGCTTAATCACCTACCCAGTCACCCACTCGCTCACTCACTCAATCACTTACCAGCTAACCACTCACCTGCTTGCTCACATGCTCACTCGCTCGCTCACCCACCCAGCCATCCAACCACTCGCTCACTCACTCACTTGGCCAGCCATCCAACCACTCGCTCGCTCACCCACCCAGCCATCCAACCACTCGCTCACTCACTTACTTGGCCAGCTAGCCACCCACTCGCTCACTCACTGGCTGGCTCGCTCACTCAATAAATCGCTCGCTCGCTCGTTCACTCCCTCACTCACTCACTAGGTCGCTCGCTCAATAATTCGCTCGCCCACTCACTCGCTCGCTCACTCACTCACTTACCCACCCACTCGTTCGCTCACTCACTCGCTCACCTATCCAGCCAGCCAACCACTGGCTCACCCACTCACTTGGCCAAACTAGCCACCACCCACTCACTCATTCACTCGCCCTCTTATACATCTAGCAAAAAGATTATGCCAGGCCAATATAGCCACGATGCACTGCCTGTTTTATAATAGGGGTTTTCCCCTTTTTTCTGGCAACAAAACTGAAACCTTTTTACGAGGATTCATGTCTGCATTAACCACAATACTTTCAGTCAAAATGCAAACAAAAAACATACTACGATAATATATGGATTGTCCTTGAAACTGATTGGTCCACACCAAGGGACGGCTTTCTTTCAGATTCGAGGACAATACATATATTATCGTAGTATGTTTTTTGTTCGCATTTTGACCGCGAGTATTGTGGTTATTGCAGACATGAATCCTCGTAAAAAGGTTTCAGTTTTGTTGCCAGAAAAAAGGGGAAAACCCCTATTATTATATTTTGGTACTGGCAAGGAGGTCTAATGATGCACTGCCTGTTTGTTTACGATAAAGCTGAGTGATGTGCACTCTGATCAAGTTGTCCCGCGCACACAGTCGCCCACTCACCGCAACGTCCCCACCCCACCACCCACTTGGCTTGCCATGGGTCGCAGTCACAGAAGGATTCATGAATTTTTAAACAGGTCGGCAATTTCTGCTTTTACAGAGGTCATTGGGTGCCTGCGTGCGTGCGTGCGCGCATGAGCATTCCCCTCTGAAAGGTTCTTTGTAAATGTCTTGTTGTTGCTTGTGTCTGTGTATGTGTGTCCACGTGCATGTCCATCTGTGTGTGCGTGTGTGCCTGTTCTTACGTTCCTGTGCCATGTGTGTCTGTCTGCGGGCGTGTCCACGTATGTACATCTGTAAGTACGCGCGTGTGACTTCTCGTATATATCTGTGCGAACGTTGTCCATGTTGCCAACATGTGCATTGCGTTTCATTCCCACGTGTGTTGGCGTGCGTGTGTCCCTTGCGTGCACGTCTGTGCGTGTCCTCCGCGCGCGTATACGCGTGTGTGCGCGTGCGCAGGGGTGAACGCGATGTCGCAGGCGCTGATGACCAGCGAGTTGACCCTGAACTCGCTCACGTGCCTAGACCTCTCTGGTGTCATCCTGCGCGCAGACGAGACGTCGGTGAGCGTCGCACAGACACCTTCCCCGCCACCCCCCCTTGCCGTCACCCGCACAGGGAGTGGGCCGCCACTAGGTCGACTCCGCCGTGACTTGTGATTGTGCCATCCTCCCCCCTCCTCACCCAGAACCTGTACGCGTTCCTGGCGCAGCCCAACGCCCTTGCGGTGCTTGACCTGTCCGGCACGGAGAGCGTCGTGGAGACGGTGAGGGTCGCGGCTGCGAAGGGGATGCGTGTGTGTGTGGTGTGTGTGACGTGTGTCAGTGACGTGTGTGTGCTACACGTGTCTGTGACGCGTGTGTGTGGTGTGTGTGTGATGTGTGTACGAGTGACGCGTGTGTGTGGTGTGTGTGTGTGACGTGTGTCAGTGACGTGCGTGTGTTACGCGTGTCTGTGACGCGTGTGTGTGGTGTGTGTGTGACGTGTATGTGTGACGTGTGTACGAGTGACGTGTGTGTGCAGTGTGCGTGTGACGTGTGTGTGCGTGTGACGTATGTGTATAGTGTGTGTGACGTGTGGCGTGTGTGACGTGCGTGTATGGTGCATGTGTAGTAGGTTCAAGGAGACTTGGACGACGTAGTCGGAGACACACTTATTTATTGAACTACAGTTGTATATTACAGGCCGAGATATACAACACTTGAAGGGGTATCGGCCCCTTCACCTGCCTAACAGGGAGATCCCACAATCTCTATCCCGGCTAGCCTACTCCCAGGTCCTCCACTACAGGGCTAGGGGAGGCTAGCTGACCCAGCTCTGGCCAAGCTGGGATCACGGCACCCTGAGTCCCCAGACCGGCTCTTGCAAGAGCATCGGCTCTGGGCTCTCGGAGCCACACCACTAGCTTGCCCTGGTCGTTCCTGAGAAGGACAGCGATCCAGGGGAGTCCCAGGGCCTATCTAGCCGGTCTTCTTTCTTCGCTGGTTTAAGCTAAACACTGAACCCCGAGCCCTCCGGCTCACCGCCTTATATAGCAACTCACCCACCGAGGGGTGGGGCCGTGGGGGATCCCAGCGCCGTGTTAGCCCCCCAGGCTAAACGGTGCGGACGTGGATGTAAGCATCCTTTTGCGTGCGGGCATAACCACACCCAGTGTGTTTGTTTGCCCTCCCGTAACACCTCTACACATGTGTAGGGGTGTTAAAGAGAGGGCCCGTTATGCATGGCAGCCTATGGAAAACAAACACAGTGGGCGGGGCTACGTAAGTGCACGAGCAAGTGCTCTCTACGACGTCCGAGCCAGACACCCTGGGGGGGGCTGGTTCGAACGTTATGATCCCCCGGGGCCCCACCCCTCAGGGAGGGGTTGGGTATAAAAGGGGATGTTTCAAAGGGCTCGGCAGTTATGTTTAAGCTAAGGGAAGAAGATTGAAGACGTCTTAGATAGAGCCCTGGACTCCCCTGGTTCGATGTCCTTTTCAGGGCCGGACAGGATTGAGCCAGCTGCGTGGTCCCGGAAGCCAGAGCCGGTGCTCTTGTAAGAGCTGGTCTGGAACTCCGGGTACCGGGCCCGACTTACCAGTGTCGGGCCAGTTAGCCTCCCCTAGCCCATTAGTGGAGGATTCGGGGCTAGGACAGAGTTAGCTAGGGGTGTATCCCGAGTTATACGGGTGAGGGGGCCGATACCCCCTCGAGAGTGTATATGCCCACTGTCATATTGTGAATAAACATACGTGTGCCTCAACCTCGGCGTCAAGCGTCCTCACCGGTACTTCAACTGGTGTCAGAAGTAATTCGAACATGGACACGCGGAAAACAGCGCGGGCCAAAGTACCGCAGGAGGAAGACACTGCCGAGATCGTCGAGCCCGAGACGGCTCCACAAGACAAGGTGCAGCCGGGGCCTGACGCCTCCTTACCGGGGCATCGAAATGAAGAGGGGCCGCAGCCAGACGCGTTACGGCTGGCTCACGGGAGGCTGGCGGAGCTGCTGTATGCCGCTGCCGCCACGCTGGAGACCATCACGCGACTAGGGGCCGGTGATCCAACACGGGGCGAGGCGAGCCAACGACCAGGGCGCCTTCCCGCCATTTCGGAGCAGTCCGAATTTGAAACTCCCGCCATCGACGCTACAGCTGTTCGGGGCGTGGCCAGCCTAGACATCCGCTCCGACATCGCCGTCGCTGAAGCTGCAACGTCATCACAAGCGCGACAGGCGATCCCATCGGCCGTTCGCACCGACGCACAGCCGAGTGGTGGTGACATCAGCCTGCGGGAGTCCACAACGATCGCTGCGCTTCATCAGAGACTGCCCCCGCTGAAGGAGTTCATCGGCGCGGAGGGGGACTGGGCCGGTTTTCGCCGACGTTTCCTCGCCCATCAGGAGATGGCGAAATGGTCCGATGAGGAGGCTCTCTGCGCGCTGCCGGCGCTCCTCGACGGCGACGCGCTCGCCGCCCTCACATCGGCGCCGAGAGAGAAGCGGTCTACGTTACCGATGGCACTACAGCTGCTGGGCGGGGTCTATGGACCATCGGCTGAATGCCGACAGCAATTTTACGACCGCAAGCGGGGTGAGAAGGAGTCGCCCCTAGCATATCGGACGAGCCTCCTGGCGATGGCTAAGTCGGCCTTCCCTCGTATGGACGACGACGGCGTGGACGCGATGGTCACGGAGAAGATCCTCCTCCTGGCAGACGACCTTGACATCGCGGTCGTCGCCCGGGAGGACGAGGAGATGACATCGCTCCAGGCGGCGCGGCTCCTCCACGCCAACCTCTTGTCACTGCGGCGGAAAGCCAGCAGGGCATCGGCGGGGCGTGCGGTGGCTGCAGCCACCATTCTGACGGAGGAGCTCTACGCCGTCGACCACCGACCGCAACAGGCGACAGGAGCACGGTCGGGCCGGGACGGACCGGGCCGTTTCAACCGTCCGTCTCCTCCAACGGCGCTCCCGCGGTGTTTCAACTGCGGCGTCCGGGGCCACGTCGCCTCGGGGTGCCGCGCTCCTCGACAGCGCGGGACGACACCTCAACGGGACGACGGGCCTCATCACAAGCTCCACCATCATAACCCGGCGAGTCGCGGCACCCCACATGTTTGGCCCACGCACACACCCGTCACGCACTCAAACACCGCAATGAGAGGGGGGCCGATATCGCGCACCATCGCACCATCACGCACCACCCCGGGTACTCATATCGAACCCGGCCAGTGGTCCGTGCTGGCCGATCGTGTGGTAGCCGCATCGTCGGGGTCGTCGGCCGTTGTGGGGCACATCGACGGGGTTGAAGTGCGCATCCTGGTCGATACGGGAGCATCGGCGACCATTATTTCGGAGTTGATTTACAATATTCTCCCTGTCCGGAGTCGTCCTTTGATGCCTGTTAACGTACCATTCTATGCGGCTAACGGGGGCTCATTTGGCATCATCGGACAAATTCGTGCCCAAATTTGTATTGGGGAAATTAAATTGTCTGGGCCGATTTTTGTTTCCTCCTCGCTGGCGGTTCCGTGCCTGCTGGGGACGGACTTCCTGGCCAAAATGCCGATTAGGATATTGATCGACCAGGGATGTATTGAGCTCCCGTCGGGCAGACGCATGGCGTTTCTGCCATCGCCTGTTACGACTCGGACGGCGTTCGCGACGGTGCCGGCATTCGTAGAGAGAACGGTGCGCGTCCCTCCGGGGGCGCAAATGTTGATTCCCTTGAAACTTCGGCGGCCCTTCGCTAAGGGTGTTGGGGCCCAAGGGGTTCTGCTGGGGCCGTCTAGGGCCGGGGTTAGTGGACCTCATTTACTTCCGGCCCAGACCATAGTAAGAGGGGACGGTGAACCCTTCATCGCGGTCCTCAATGTGGGCTCGCAGACGGTGGTGGTCCCACAGGGGACCGTGCTTGCTCACGCAACGCCGGTGCCATGTGAGGAACCCGTCGCAAATCACGTCAGCGTTGTCCCTGCGCCGCGACCGCATTCGGACAGCGATGAAGGGTGGCTCGAGGCGCTTTGTGCGGGATCGACGGACCTGTCAGATTCAGAGCGTCAACAACTTAAAACACTACTGCGGGAATTTTCCGACGTTTTTAGTCGGAATAAATACGATTTGGGTTGTACTCACCTGCTGCGTCACCATATTGACACGGGTGACAGCGCGCCAATTCGCCAAAATCCGTTTCGGTTGAGTCCCGCCGAAAAGGACCATGTCAAATCGGCTGTTGATGACATGTTGGCCGCCGACATCATTTCTCCTTCCACCAGCCCTTGGGGAGCGCCGATCGTCCTGGTTAAAAAGCAGGACGGTTCGTTGCGGTTTTGCGTTGATTTCCGGCGTCTTAACAAAATTTCGGTTGCCGACGCATACCCGCTCCCTCGGATGGATGAATCGCTGGACGCCTTGGCGGGAGCGCGATTCTTTTCCACACTGAATTTACTTTCGGGATTCTGGCAGCTTCCTCTGGACGATGATTCAAAGCCTAAAACTGCTTTCCGTACACCGCATGGCCTGTTCCAATTCAACCGGTTGCCGATGGGCTTACACTCAGCGCCGGCAACTTTCCAGCGTTTGATGGAATTGGTTTTGGCTGGATTGCAATGGGAGTCGTGCCTCATTTATTTGGATGACGTTATCGTCTTTAGTAAAACTTTTGACGAACATCTCCAGAGGTTGCGGGCGGTTTTCCTAAAGATGCGGGCTGCTAATTTGAAATTCAAGCCCCAAAAATGCCATTTGTTGCGCGATTCGGTGCGTTATTTGGGGCACATCGTGGGACGCTCAGGTATTGCTACCGATCCCGCCAAAACGCAGTGTGTCAGCTCCTGGCCGACTCCCACCTCGGTGGGAGAGGTCAGGAGTTTCATTGGGTTCGCGTCGTATTACCGACGGTTCGTCGCTGATTTTGCGACAATTGCAAAACCCCTGCACGCTTTAACATCTAAAGGGGTTCGGTTCCACTGGGGTCAAGAGGAGGAGGCTGCTTTCTGCTCCCTTCGGGACGCCCTGGTAAAAGCCCCTCCCTTGATTTACCCAGATTTTTCTAAGCCCTTTTTGCTCGACACCGATGCGAGCAACACAGGTATTGGGGGTGTGCTTTCCCAGGTGGTTGATGGCGTGGAACGGGTGGTCGCGTACGGTAGTCGGGTGTTGTCTCCTGCGGAGCAAAGATATTGTGTCACCCGTAGGGAACTGTTGGCAATTGTCTATTTCATCCAACAGTATCGCCCATATCTGTACGGTCGGCATTTCACCGTCCGCACAGATCATGCGGCACTACAGTATGCCCTGCGAGTTCAACAACCATCGGGACAGTTGTCTCGATGGTTGGAGGTTCTCCAGGACTTTGATTTTGAAACCACCTACCGTAAGGGCGTTCGCCATACGAATGCGGACGCTCTGTCGCGCATGCCAACCACCTCGGAATGTGCATGCCTCCTGGGGTCGGGACGTTGCAGGCCTTCAGGGGACGCATCGGTTCCGGTCTTGGCAGCCACCGACGACGACGAAACATTAATTACTAATTCGATCGAACAACAGGGAAGAGATTCCCTGTTGGGGTTGCCCGTCACTGAATGGGGGCGCCTCCAAATGGAGGATACCTCCCTCCTCGGGTGGCGTCGTCGCGTCGGGGGTGCTGGGCGGGTGAAGGGTGATTCGGATGCATGGGAAATGGTGCAAGGTCTGCTGATGCATTGGGACGGCAAATCCCAGCGACATCGGCTGGTGGTCCCTTCTGAGTTGCGAGGCAAGGTGGTGTGGGCCGCGCATGAGCGCCTATTACACCTGGGGACCCAAAAGACTCTTGCACTGCTACAACTTGATTTTTTTTGGCCTGGTATGACGAGGGATGTTGGGGATCTATTGGGATCATGCCCTCGGTGTGCGCAACGGAAACCGCCGGCGCGGGAGTCTAACCCGCCCTTGCAATCGATCAAAGTATCCAGAATAAATGAGCTTGTCGCGCTGGACATTTTGGGCCCATTTCCCGCCACCCCCAGGGGCAATAGGTATTTGTTGACAGGTGTCGAGTATTTTACGCGCTGGCCTATGGCCTGGCCCCTTGCCAACCAGTCGGCAGCAGCCATCGTGGAGGCCTTTGTTCAGGGATACGTCCTGGACAAAGGTGCTCCGGAGCGGCTGCTGACCGACCAGGGCAGAAATTTTTCCGGTAAATTACTCAAACAAGTCTGTGACCTCTTAGGCACGAAGAAAATTCGTACCTCCCCGTATCACCCGCAAACTGACGGAATGGTCGAGCGCCTGCATCGCACCATTACGTCAATGATGTCACAGCAGGTCTCGGACTCGCAGACTGACTGGGACCTGCATATTCAAGGGGTCTTGGCGGCATACCGGATGGCACCCCATGCAGCTACGGGATTTTCCCCCTTTTACCTCATGTACGGTCGCGAACCCGACCCGCCTGTTCGCGCCCAGCTGCAGATCCCCGACCCGCAAGGGAAAACTAAATTGGCTGACCACGTCAAATTTAATCTGGCCAAATTAACAGAGGCGCGGGATGCTGCTATGCTAAACTCGGACCTCCGTCAAAAGGCGAATGAGCGCCTCAGGCTGGGTCGGGCGCATGTAATACAGTGGAAGCCGGGGGACAAGGCATGGTTGCACTGTCCCCAAGTGCCCCTGGCTACCTCCCCTAAGCTGGCGCGGCCGTGGCGGGGCCCTGTGGAGGTGGTCGAAGTTTTGCGACCACAGTGCGTGCGCATTAAATGGGGGAAGCGGCGATGGTTCGTGCACCCCTCTAGGTTAAAACCCTTCGTTGCGGTACACAAACCCACTTCACACATGCGTGGCCAAACGTGTGGGGGGTCGACCGACTCACTGGGTCCGTCTCCGTCGTTCTCACCTAATGCCTTGCCGGCCGTGCCACCTCCAGGTGCATCAGGACTGACGGGCTCACGCCCGACCACCCCTCCTGGGGATACCGACGGTCGCGCGGCATCGGATGAGGTCTCACTCCGGGACGAACAATTGCCACCTTACGGTCCGCCACCCGGGGTTACCCCGTGTGAGGGGCCCGCTGCAAGGACGCGCGCAAAAATGCGCAGACTATTATGAGGCCGGAAGATGTGTACATAGGTTGTGTTCATCGTGTGTTGTGTGGGTGGTGTGTTCCCTGCCCATTGAAATGTACATACGTTGTGTTCATTGTGTGTTGTGTGGGTGGTGTGTTCCCTGCCCATTGAAATGTACATACGTTGGGTTCACCTGGTGTTGTGTGTATGGTGGGTTCCCTGCAAATTGTATATAGGTTGTTTTTTTTACGGAATTCGTATTTATTCAAGGGGGTGTGCGTCGGGTTGTTTCCTCTTCTTGCTGTTGCATTTTGTTGTGTTCTTGTTGCTGCTCTTGTTATTGTTGAAAAATAGTGAGGCACACGCGCGGTCAAGGGGTAAATGCACTTTTATTGTCATTTTTGTATGTTGGCAGCCGGGACGGCTGCAAGCTATGCGGGGGGGGGGGGGTGATGTAGGGGTGTTAAAGAGAGGGCCCGTTATGCATGGCAGCCTATGGAAAACAAACACAGTGGGCGGGGCTACGTAAGTGCACGAGCAAGTGCTCTCTACGACGTCCGAGCCAGACACCCTGGGGGGGGCTGGTTCGAACGTTATGATCCCCCGGGGCCCCACCCCTCAGGGAGGGGTTGGGTATAAAAGGGGATGTTTCAAAGGGCTCGGCAGTTATGTTTAAGCTAAGGGAAGAAGATTGAAGACGTCTTAGATAGAGCCCTGGACTCCCCTGGTTCGATGTCCTTTTCAGGGCCGGACAGGATTGAGCCAGCTGCGTGGTCCCGAAAGCCAGAGCCGGTGCTCTTGTAAGAGCTGGTCTGGAACTCCGGGTACCGGGCCCGACTTACCAGTGTCGGGCCAGTTAGCCTCCCCTAGCCCATTAGTGGAGGATTCGGGGCTAGGACAGAGTTAGCTAGGGGTGTATCCCGAGTTATACGGGTGAGGGGGCCGATACCCCCTCGAGAGTGTATATGCCCACTGTCATATTGTGAATAAACATACGTGTGCCTCAACCTCGGCGTCAAGCGTCCTCACCGGTACTTCACATGTGTGACATGTGTGCAGTGGTGTGTGTGTGGCGATGTCTCGACGTGTATGGCGCTGTCGCCTGTCAGATGTTCGGGGCGCTCTTGCGGGGCTGCTGCCGGCACTTGCAGGAGCTGCGCCTGTCAAAGAACGTCTTTTCTTATCGGTGAGACTCGCCCAACAGCTTGCAACCGACAGAGACAGAGACATTATCAGAGTTGTTTCTTTTTGTTTGCATTTTGACTGCTTGTGTTGTGGTTATTGCAAACATGATCCCTTGTATAAAGGTGTCAGTTTTTGTACCAGTTGAAAGGGTAAAAACTTATTACAATTTTTTGCCACTGGTTAAGGAGAAGTCTCATAGTGTAAATGCTTACCCCGAGCTCTCAATACTCTGATAGTGCGCTGTCTTTGAGTTGTACGCCTTTTGGCGTCATCTGGTCCAACACCAATGGAGACTAGGCTCTAAGAAAAGCTGTCTCGGGTGTGGACCAATCAACTTCAAGGACAGTGCATATCATTATCATGATCAGAGTTGTTTGTTTTTGTTTACATATTGACTGCTTGTGTTGTGGTCATTGATCCCTTGTATAAAGGTGTCAGTTTTTGTACCAGTTGAAAGGGTAAAAACCTATTACTAGAGACACGATGTGTTCATGGCGCTGACCTGTCAGACGGCGCTGCAGTGTTCGACGGCGCTGTGTTGTTAGCACTGCTGTGTTAGCACTGCTGTGTTAGCACTGCTGTGTTAGATGCGTTCACGGCGCTGCCATGTCAGACGGCGCTGCAGTGTTCGACGGCGCTGTGTTGTTCGTGCTGCTGTGTTGGATGGCGCTGTGTTGTCCGTGCTGCTATGTTAGCACTGCTATGTTAGCACTGCTGTGTTAGATGCGTTCATAGCGCTGGCATGTCAGACGGCGCTGCAGTGTTCGATGGCGCTGTGTTGTTCGTGCTGCTGTGTTAGCACTGCAGTGTTCGACGGCGCTGTGTTGTTCGTGCTGCTGTATTCGACGGCGCTGTGTTGTTCGTGCTGCTGTGTTGTTCGTGCTGCTGTGTTGGCACTGCTGTGTTAGACGGTGCTGTGTTGGATGGCACTGCTGTGTTAGACGGCGCTGTGTTATTCGTGCTGCTGTGTTGGCACTGCTGTGTTAGACGGCGCTGTGTTGTTCGTGCTGCTGTGTTGGATGGCGCCGCTTTGCCGTCGCAGGAAGGCCCGAGACGTGCTGCCCTCCTGCAGGCGTTTCTTCAGCAGCGCTCTCATCCTGTCTCACATCGACCTCTCCGACACCCGCCTACCGGCCCCCGCCGTCCGGTGAGGAAGCCGGATCCTTCGCCTGCTCACCCGCTCACTCACCAACTCACTCACTCACTCACCAATTCATTCACCTACAAGCTCACCCGTGCAGGCATTCGCTCGCACAGGAACTCCACCCACTCATTCGCCCGCCCATTCATCTACAAACTCACCCGCTGCGCCGCGGTGGAGTGGCGGTGTCACGATGGCTGTGGGATAAGATTGACCATCATTGATGATGAATCGATGAGCACCTCAAGCGTGACCCCGGGTTGACGGCGTGACCTGGGGCGACCCCGAGATCACCCCCCTTCTCCCTCCATGCTCACGGCGCCCCACAGGGAGCTGCTGCTGGGGCTGGCAGCGAACAAGCACCTGCAGGACGTGTCGCTGGAGCTCAGCGGCTGCGAGGTAAGAGGCACCCGTCGTGGACGAGTGAGTGAGCGAGCGAGCGAGCCAGTAGGGGAACGAGCCGGCGAGCCGACGAGTGGTCGAGCGAAGAAGTGGACTAGAGGGCGAGGAGGTGAGTGAATGAGTGGACCAGTGAGTGGCTGAGAGGCCGAGTGAGCGGGTGATTGGGTGAGCGAGCAAATGACTGGCTGAGAGGATGCTTGGTTATTGAGTGAGTGGACAAGTAAGAGGAATGAGTGAGTGAGCGGGTAAAAGGATGAACAAGCAGCTGAATGGGTGAGCGAGCGGGTGATTGGGTGAGCGAGCAAATGACTGGCTGAGAGGATGCTTGGTTATTGAGTGAGTGGACAAGTAAGAGGAATGAGTGAGTGAGCGGGTAAAAGGATGAACAAGCAGCTGAATGGGTGAGTGAGCGGGTGATTGGGTGAGCGAGCAAATGACTGGCTGAGAGGATGCTTGGTTATTGAGTGAGTGGACAAGTAAGAGGAATGAGTGAGCGGGTAAAAGGATGAACAAGCAGCTGAATGGGTGAGCGAGCGGGTGAGCGCGTAGAGCCGGCGTGTTGATTCGCGAGCCATGGTGGCTGGCTGCTGCTGCCGTTGACAGTTGCGTATGGAAGGATCCAAGGCTCTCAAGTACTGCCTGGAGGACGTCCCAAACCTCTCGCGCCTCGACCTGGCCGACAACGGTAAAGCCACGTGCTCGACAAGGGGTGGGGGGGGTGGGAATGGGAGGGGGGGTGGGTGGGTGAGTGGATCCGCGAGTGTGAGTTGAGTCGCATGTTTTTGTCGCCCCAGGTCTGGATAGCGATCTCCTGTCGCTCATGAATGTCCTCGGCAAGAATCGCTCCATACGCCACCTCGACCTCGGCCGTAACTTCTCCAGCCTTAAGCCCAAGTGTGTGCTCACTTCCTCACCACCTCCTCACCCACCCACCCACCCACTCACCCGCCCATCCACCCTCTCACTCACTCACCAAGCCCACCTAGTGCACTCATCCAACCACCCGGCCACCCATTCGACTGCTCGTCCATTCGCCTGTTTGTCTTCTCTCTGCCTTGCTCACTTATCTTATCTTAAAGGAGTTCACATAGCTCCTTAACCAAGGTGCTTTACAACTAATTAGCAATGGTACTTATGAATGTAATGGTGGAGATGAGATGAATGAAATAGATGAGAGGATTCAATGGGCGTGAATTCGCGAAATCGATGACGGTAAATAACGATGAATGGATCATCGTCTCTCATCCACACACTCGCTTTCTCTCATCCGCACACTCACCCCCTCCCTTTCCACTCACCCCCCGTGTCCCCCCGCGCCCCCCGTGTCCCCTGCAGGATGCTGTCCAAGGTGCTGGACGGGGTGGTGCAGCTGATACAGGACGAGGACTCGGTACGTAAGTCCGTGTCGGGTTTTCTTGGCGTTAAACGAGCACCCGGCGCGTCGTGCAAACGCCGTCGCTGCCTCCTCGTGAAACTCCCCGGCCATTTAACATCACTCGGCCCCGACGGCCAGCGTACGCTACACGGGGGACCTTTGTCTGTTGCGCGGAGCAGATGCTGCAGTCCCTGTCGCTGGCCGACTCGCGGCTCAAGAGCGGCACGAGCGTCGTGGTGAACGCGCTCGGCAGCAACGCGACGCTCGCCAGCGTCGACCTGAGCGGCAACGCCATGGGGGACCTGGGGGCGCGCATGCTGGCCAAGGCGCTCGCCATCAACAGCTCGCTCCGGTGCGCGCACGCGCACGCACGCACGCACGCACGCACACGCAACGCACGCACCCACACGCTTGGGTACGCACGCATGCATGTACGCACCCGCACTCTGGTACACACGCACACATGCGCAGGCTCCGGTACACACAAAGCGGTACACGTTTATGCTTCGGTGCTCGCGTGCGCACGCACCCAACGCATGCACACACGAACACAACCGCGTGCTTGCCGTGAGCTCTCGGTGAGATCACGGTGTGTGCGGTGAGTTCACGGTAAGAACGCGGTGTGTGTGGCGAGCTCGCGGGAGCTCATGGTAAGAACACGGTGAGATCACGATGTGTGCGGTGAGTTCACGGTAAGAACGCGGTGTATGTGGCGAACTCGCGGAGAGCTCACGGTGAGAACACGGTGAGAACACGATGTGTGCGGTGAGTTCACGGTAAGAACGCGGTGTGTGTGGCGAGCTAGCGAAGAGCTCACGGTGAGATCACGGTATGACTCCCGCAGGACGGTGATCTGGGACAAAAACGGCACGACCGCCCAGGGCTTCCAGGATGTGGCCAGTGCCCTCGAGAAGTAAGTGTCACCTCGCGTACCCCCCCAGCGTGACCTCGCATGACCCCAGTGTCACAAACTCCCTCGATCGTGTGGCCTCTTGAGCAATCCACCCTGATCCTAACCGATCTTGTCGGATCTGGAAAGCCGATCAGGCTGGAGCCTGATTAGTACCTGCGCTGAATATTGCCTAGGAATATCGGCTCTCATCGGTTTGGCCAGTGAAGTGACCAGGAGATGGCAGTACAGCATTGGATTCCTAATTCTATCGGTGTGGAGCTTAGAGTGTCATGTGAAATGCTCATGCATGGAACTGGCCAAACGTCCCAATGTAGCAGGACCCACCTGATAAAGATTCTTGAGGCTCAGCAGACTTTCCTTGGTAAACAAATCAACATTATAACCTAGAATTCACATTTCGATTTAAAGCTTTCGTGACTGCAGGGATTCATCTTCTTGGTTCTTTCGGTAAAGTCACGTAGAAGGGAAATAATAAAATAATAAAAATAAAACATAATAAAATAATTCTCACGACGTTTCGGCCACAACGCAAGCAGCCGTCCTCAGGTGAAGAACAGGGCTGTCGGAAAGACAGCGTCTGAATGACGCGTCTGAATGACGCTGTCTTTCAGACAGACCTGTTCTTCACCTGAGGACGGCTGCTTGCGTTGTGGCCGAAACGTCGTGAAAATTATTTTATTGTGTTTTATTTTTATTATTTTATTATTTCCCTTCTACGTGACTTTACCGAAAGAACCAAGAAGATGAATCCCTGCAGTCACGAAAGCTTTAAAAATAATTATTTTATAATGTTTTATTTTTATTATTTTATTATTTCCCTTCTACGTGACTTCACCGAAAGAACCAAGAAGATGAACTAGAATTCACAGCCCGTTGTGCTGTATGAAGCTCTCTCCATGTCGTGTCGGTCACGAGGATTGTTTGACCACACTTCACGACGCTAGCAAGTGTGGGTCGGTGGCGGGTGGAGACCCAGGACTGGTTGAGACTGCTATTCGTCACTCTCGGCTCGCCGTGGCTCACGGCACACTGAGCTAACCGCAGTGCCACCGCTCCGCTTCTTAATCTCTCCGCCAGGAACTACAGCCTGCGATTCATGCCTCTTCCCATGCACGACGCGGCGGCCGCAATGAAGACGCAGCCGGAGAGGACAGAGGAGGCCCTGCAGAAGGTTCAGACTCGTCGCAGCATTTACCGTTCACACAGCATGAGTGTGTGTGGACACGTGTGTGCGCGTGTGTGTGTATGTGTGTGTCGTGGGGAGCGGTGGTGTAGCGGTTAGCGCGCTGCACTACGGACCTGGCGACCCGGGTTCGATTTCCGCTCACGGCAAACACCAGTGACGATTATCTGAACCGGTCCCGGACCTCCCCTAGGTCGACTCAGCCTCAAATGAGTACCTTGTGCGGTGTGTAAACATCGCCACTAGGGAGACAAAGGCGGTCGGGCATGGTGCTGGCCACCCACCCCCTCGTGTACCGTTCCGGCCTTTATAGGTGCTCGCTAACAGCACTTGCCCCTACAGTCTGTTAAGGCTATATGGGGGATCTTTGTCTTTGTATATGTGTGTGTGAGGAGAGGTAGTGCAGCGGTTACCGCGCTGGGCTACGAACCCGGCAACCGTAGTTCAATTCCCGCTCGTGGCTAACACAAGTGATGGTTATCTGAACCGGTCCTGGCCTCCAGTAGGTCAACTCGGCCTCAAATGAGCACCTTTTACGGTCCATAATCAACGTTATTTATAAATGTGTTGTAACCCTCCACCACCCGACACGGCCAATCAGCAAAAAAGTGTCACGTTGACAAAAGACAAATTAGTTCACTGCTTTAGCCCACCGGTGTGTTGAAGCGTGAAACCGCAACATTTACAATTTTTGAGTTGTACGACGTTTCGCTGGTAATTGCATCCAGCATAATCGGGCAATTCGCCAGAATTGAACTATTTGTCTTTTGTCAACGTGACACTTTTTTGCTGATTGGCCGTGTCGGGTGGTGGAGGGTTACGACACATTTATAAATGACGCGATCTAAACCCAAAAACGTTGATTATGAATAATATTGGTCGTGAAAGCCTGCGTGTTAAACCTTTAAGGTGTACATCGCCACTGCGGAGACAAAGGCGGCCTGGCGTGGTGCTGGCCACCCACCCCCTCGTGTGTCATGCCGGGTCTTCATAGGCGGTCGCTAACAGCACTTGCCACAACAGTCTGTTAAGGCTATATGGGGGGTCTTTGTCTTTGTGTGTGACCGTGGCAGATCGAGAAGCTGCTGTTGCGGAACCACGGCTCGCGGCGTTCGTGCCCGGAGCAGGCGTACCGCCTGCAGCACGGCATCCTCGCCAGCACATCCCAGCAGGTCAGGGAGTCGGGAGGGCAGGGGTTATGGTTGCCACCTGTCCGGGTGTGAATGTCCAGGCACGATCCGAACAGTCTTGAGGTCTGGTACCGCCGGTATTGTGTTGAACTTTGTTACAAGATACTTGACAGTCTTGATATGCCTGGCGCTGACTGAGATGTGTGGGGTTTGGTCTTGAGTTGAAAAGGTGGCAGCCCCCTCCACCGACTCACTGATTCACTCACCCACCCACTCATGCATTGATTCATTTGTCAAGTCGCTCAGTAGCTCACCTACTCACCCACTCATTCACTCATTCATTCACTCACTCACTCGTTCATCTTTCTCACTCACCTACCCACTACAGTTGCCACCTGTCCGGGAATTGGCATCTGTGTTTTTGCGGTAGGTAGTAATTGATTCGTACCGATATCTTGCTGGTACTGTGTTGAACTTTATTCCATTTTACTGCACAGCCTTTATAGGCCTGGTGCTGACTGAGAAATATGTGTGGATTTGGTCTTCGGTGGAAAAGATGGTGACCCAAGAGCCGCAAGAGGTCAGGGGTCAACAAATAGCACAACGGGGATCAGTGGCAAGAGAATGTTGCTGTATGTGCGTCTGTGTCTATTTGTGTGCGAGTGCGTGCGTGCGTATGTGTCCGTACGTCTGTGCGTGTCTGTGCATGTGTTGTACACGTGTGTGTGTGTGTGCAGATGTGGACGCGTTTGTATATGCGCGGGCATGCGTGTGTGTTGTTGTGGGTAGTTGGTAACACAGCGGTTCGTGCGCTGCGCTACGAACCCCGATTTTAATTTGATTTCCGCTCACGACTGACACCAGTGAAGAATACCTGAACCTGTGCTGGGCCTCCCCTGGCCACCCACCCCCTCGTGTGCCATGCCAGTTTTGTACATATTTTGAATTTATTTCGGGCTGCACAACCGTGCTAATCGGACGTGCGAGCCCCGAAAGGTGAGAGAGAGAGCCTTCATAGGTGCTACTCGCTAACAGTACTTGCCCGAACAGTCTTTTAAGGCTTTACGGGGGATCTTTGCGTGCGTGCGTGTGTGTGCGTGGGTCAGCTGGTGGACAGGATGTGCGTGAGGGCCCAGGACCAGCTGAGGGCCCTGCAGAGGGGAGCGGTGGGGGCGGCCGAGGGCCCTGCCCGCTCAGACATGATGCACGCTCAGGCCCTGCTGCAGGAGGCCAAGAACTCCAAGGCCGTACGTATGTAATGGGTTCTGGAGACACTTGTAGAGGTAACTTCTTTATTACAATCCAACAACACTCCATTCAGGTTAGGTACACAGCCTAGGTACACAGCCTAGATACACTACTCTGGCTTCCTCGGAACTCGCCCTCACAAGGACGTAGAGCCGGGAGTTCCAGAGTCCCACCACTGGCCCTCACAGCGTCCCAGGATCCTGAGATGGCTGGTCTTGGGTTTTGGGTCTTGAGCTACAACTGGCCCTGATCGGCTAGGGAGCTGCCCTTTTATGCCTCGTCCCCAACGAGGGGTGGGGTTGTGTCCGCCCCCAGATATCCCACAGAGCACACACAGCCCCCCCCCCCCCCCGTTGGTGGCGCCAAGGGGCTTAACTGGCTGGGGTGCCGAGGGTCCCAGCGCCTGGCGCCAAGGGGCTTAAGCGTCTGGGTTGCCTAGGGTCCCAGAGCCCCCAGCAGCCCCTCCCCTCTTATGTCACTACACGTATAATGGACATTGAACTCTGGCTGTTGCCATTGGGACAGGAGGGTGGTGGGGGGGGATAGCGCCATCCAGCCACCATGGAGAGATGGTAACTATCTCGCCTGGTATACAGGAGGTCGTGGGTTCAATCTCGACCCTAACAACTGTATAGTTGGAGTTTGCGTGTTCTCCCCGTGGTCGCGTGGGTTTTTCTCCGGTTCCTCAGTGCGCCTTACCTGGTGAAATAAAAAATAGTTTAGTTTAGTTCTAGGCCACGATGGGCTTTCACAATTTTGCAAGGTGCGCTCCCAGTTTGCAGAATAATAATACAAATTCCTGCTTAGATAACTATTCTTACGTTAGCACATTTTATGACAACAGCAGCAGCAGGAGCACTTTCACTCCAATCTCAACATTCTTAATTGTATTGTTTGGATTAGGCCACTAAGTAATGATGTGACCCTAATCTGTGTGAAGAACCCTCCACCACCCGACACGGCCAAACATTCAATTGTCACGCAGTGCACAAGCGTTTAACAACACATCAGTTAAATTTCGATTTAAAGCTTTCGTGACTGCAGGGATTCATCTTCTTGGTTCTTTCGGTAAAGTCACGTAGAAGGGAGATAATAAAATAATATAAATTTAAAACATAATAAAATTATTCTCACGACGTTTTGGCCACAACGCAAGCAGCCGTCCTCAGGTGAAGAACAGATCTGTCTGGGAGACATTCAGACGCTGTCTTTCCGACAGACCTGTTCTTCACCTGAGGACGGCTGCTTGCGTTGTGGCCGAAACGTCGTGAGAATTATTTTATCATGTTTTATTTTTATTATTTTATTATTTCCCTTCTACGTGACTTTACTGAAAGAACCAAGAAGATGAATACATCGGTTATTATTTTTCCAGCTCACAATCCCCGCAACCATAATTGGCAATCTCAAGATGCTTTACAAAACTGAAGAAACTACATTCAGATAAAATGGGGCATGACGAGTGGGTTAGGGCAGGGAAAACAGGAGTGAGGGATAGAGATACCCAGCAATCGGGGGCACCAAATCAATAACAAACAAACAACATCGACAACAACGAGCCCCGGGGCAGCCAGGGCAGCAGCAGCAGCAGCCAGGAGTCCCAGGGCATCCTGGGTAGACCAGGGCCTATTCAGCACGGAGGAGGCAGCAGAGGAGAGAGCTGCAGTCCTCAATACGTAGCTATGCACGTTGAACTTCTTTAGCACCGTACTTAGCCAATTGCGCCAATCGGAGGTGCGGGGCAAGGACAACGAACTAACACACAAAAAGCACTTTCACGGGAACTAACAGAAGCAGGAAAGAGTCTTTGCGGCAGAGGTCGCAACCGGGTACCCGATACCCGTACCCTACCCGATACCCGGCTACCCGTACCCGGCCAGGTACGGGTACGGGTACCCGTTTGCGACCCTGGTGCGGCCGGGTACGGGTAGGCCGTGAGTCACTGGTGAGTAACCGTTTGTCACTCATTCGGGTAGGGTACGGGTACGGGTAGGGAACGGGTACCCGGCCGGGTACGGGTACCCATTTGCGACCCTGGTGCGGCCGGGTACGGGTACGGGTAAGGAATCAAAACCCGTTTGCGACCTCTGCTTTGCGGCGGCAAAAACGGGGAGGAAGTTGCGTCCATGAGAGAAATTGCGTGGCCGATGGCGGACCTCGGACGTTCTTGCTCGAGCCGCGCGGCCGTGCGCAGCGATAGCAGAGAGGGACCGCCCCGAGGCTCGCGGCTCGCAGCTCACCCAGCTTCCATCACCTCCCCCCGCCCTGCGCGTGCAGCTGCTGCCCACGCTGTTCCACCACAGCCCAGGGGGGCCCGACCCCCTCAGCGTGCAGATGGAGGAGACGACGGCGGAGGTGGCGGCCGTGCTCGACTCGCAGCTGCAGGTGGGGGGGGGGGGCAGTCACCCACTTCGCCCGGCAGCCCAAGTTCCAATCCCGATCGCGGCCCACACCAGTGACGATTATGTGAAGCGGTCCTGAGCCTCCCAGAGGCCAACTCAGTCTGAAATGAGTACCCGGTGCAGTGTGTAAACTCGCCACTGGGGAGACAAAGGCGGCCGGGCGTGGTGTCCACACCACCCTCTCGTGTGCCGTGCCGGCCTTCATAGGTGCTCCAGTCTAACAGCAGTTTAAAGCGTAGTTGGCTTTCACACCAATATCAATGATAAAGTTTTTTTTGGTTTAGATCACAAAAATGTGAATGTGTCGTTAAACCCGCCACCACCCAACAAAGCCAATTAGTAGGGTTTGTCACGTACGCAAAACGTGCCAATTACTACTTCAGCACCACCGGTGTCTTGGAGAGTAAACCCACAACATTTATAATTGGAGTCCGACGTTTCGCTGGTGATTACAACCATCCTCATCAGTCGACAGCCAGAATTGTGAAGAAGTCCTCCTGTTTCGGTCTTAAATAACGGGAGTGACGTTGACGTCATCACTGCGGGCCTATCAGGGTTTCCGCGTCGGCGCGTGATGTGCTTAGCGGGTGCGCGCCGCCTGCGGTGCACGTGGATGCATGCCACGTGCCGTGCGTAGCGGACGTTGTATTTGTGGGGCGCGTGTGCGTGCGGCGTGTGCGTGCGGAATGCGGCGTGTGCGGCGCACAGGCGATGCTGGAGGCGATGGTGCGCGTGGGGGAGGGGCTGTGCCCACACACGACGGCGGCGCCGGGCGTCCGTGCCGCCCTCCTCGCCGCCGGTGCTGAGAGAATCTCCGTCCCGCGCTCGCTCGTGCGGAGCCTCGGCCTCGAGCAGGCGGCCGTGGAGCTCCACGACAAAGCGAGGTGCGGGGAAACCACGGGCGCCACGTGCTCACGTAACCGCTCGCTCAGCCACTCACTCTGCCCGAACTCCTACTCAACGACTCGACACCACTTGTACAAAGACGCCGCTCAACCCTGGCTGAATTGTCCCCCGTGTCATCATCTATCCTGCTGTGTCTCTGTCCGTGCGCTCGGCTATCTCTGACCCTGTTACTGATGGCGTCCCCCAACCACCCCCCCCCCCCCGCGTGTCTCCAGCGAGGTGCGCCTGTCCCTGTCGGCACTCCTGGCGGACCGCATCACGGACAAGCTCTTGGAGCAGCTGTGCGGCGTCCACGCCAAGCTGGTGCGACGCGCCACGGTCACCTCCTCCTCCCGTCGCCGAGTTTCACCGAATTTTCTTTTCCCGTAGCGGTGGCGGGGGGAGACCCGCGACTGGTGGGCCCAACGCGGTCCACACAAGATGTACCCCCCGCTCCCCCTGCCTCTCGCCATGACCATCTTAGATGCACTAATCGGGTACTGGAGGGGAATATTTTTGAGCTGGCAGGGTCGCTTTGTCGATGTGCACTGTCCTCGCGCGGTCAACGTTCAGCGTCAACTATATATGTGTGTGTGTTGAACTTCTTTCGCACCATACGTAGCCAGTTCCGCTAGTCGGAGGTGCGTGGGGCTGCCCAGAAATGTAATTTTTTAAATTCTGCTCGACCCCCGGTGAGCATCCGGTTCCCCACCTCCGGTTGATAGCAACCGCTACTTCCTCCTAAATTCTATATTTGAAGCTTTCGTGACTGCAAAGATTCATATTCTTAGGTTTTTTCGGTAAAGTCACGAGGTAAAAAATTAAAATGAAAATTAATAAAAGTGAAATAAAAATCACGACTTGATAGCTGTATCAAGTGATACAGCTGTATCAAGTGATACAGCTATCGTGCTGTGACCTGAAGACGGAAGCTTGTGTTGCCTCCGAAACGTCGTGATTTTTATTTTTATTTTACTTTTATTAATTTAAATTTTTTTACCTACGTGACTTTACCGAAAAAACCTAAAAATATTCCTCCTAAATGTCACCTCTCCCGCCGCCACGAGCCAAACAGCCGTGGGGCATTAAGCGGTGCGCGCTGACATTGACGCTGCCGCCCCCAGGCTGGGCACCTGGCTAGCCACGGCCTCGCGCTGGGGGGGCAGCCACCTCCCGCAGGACAGACCTCACCGCAGGAAGACGGCGCTCACTCCGAGGAGGCCGACATCGTCACGGTAAGCGCAACCGGCGCATTCCGGTCGACGCCGGAGCCTGAACTTGACTTTATCCTCGCGTCCCCGCCGATCCAAGTAAACCCTTTGACTTTGACCTCTTCGACCTTGACCTCTTCAACCCCTCCCCAGATGTCGCCCGTCTCGCGCAAGCGGAGCCTTCGCAACAGGAGGATGCGGCCGGTGTCGCGTGCCTTCGGTATGGCCGCCCCCGCCCACCGGCGTCTGTGCCGGCGCTCGTGACATTTCACTTGCGGTTTTCTCGTCCCGTCGTTTCATTTCCTTCCTGGTGAATGCACCCGCCTCTCCCCACAGCCGACGGCGCGCTGGATGGTGGAGCCGTGGCTGCGACGGCAGCGCCGCAGAAGGGCGGCACGAGCGAGCTGCCGCCGATGGACGTGTCGGAGCCGCCGCCAGGAGATGCGGGGAGGCTGGAGCACGTGACCAAGACGAGACCCAAGAAACCGGGTCGGCCGGGGCGGCAGCACCGCCCGTCCGTCTCCGCAAGTCTCCGCGCTGTTGTGAGTGCTCGTCAGCAGTCGCACGAGGCGGTCGCGAGCGCGGGATCCATACCAAAACGCCACGAGCCTACTGCGGATGGCTCACACGGGAATGGCGATTCGCACGTTCAAGAAATTCTCACTTTAATGGGATTGGAATGAGGATTCCGCTACAGTAAAACTCTCCCGATAGAATCCCATTCATTGCAATAGAGATGCAGGAATTGCCACTCAAATGAATCTGAAATCTATGAGAGCCTAGGAATAGGCCCGTAGAATCCTCGTTCATTTAAGTGGAGATTTTCCCGAGTTGACCAGGCCTCACAGGTCCTGCTGTCTTGCCCGATGCCCTGACTTGATTTCTCAGTTGCTGTGACCATGCACGGACAATGACGTTTTCTTTGTGTACGGTTATGTTCATCGTAAATATATTATAATGAGTAACGGAGGTTAGTTTATATGACCCCACACCTCTACACTGACCTCTGCCCCCACACCCCTCCACCGACCCCCCCCCCTCCACCCCAGCAGGATGAGGGAGCTGTTGATGAAGGAATCGCTGAGTTCTTCACCAAGAAAGTCCTTCCTCCTTCAGCCAGGCTCCAGTAAGAAGCACAAACCAGCAGTCATCATCACTGTCACCATCACCGTCATCATCATCACCACCACCATTGTCACAATCATCACTACCATCGTCACCATCATCGTTACCATCAGCATCACTAACGTCACCATCATCTTAATGTTCATAAGTAAACACTACCACCATCAACACCATCATCGGCAAACACCACCATCATCATCATCACCTGCCGTCACCCCCACCACCCTTGTAAAATCAGCTGTAGTTGTGCAATAAAGGTCGTTGAGGCGACTTCTGGAATCCGGTCTTTATTCGATTTTCATTACAGCACTCCCTCTCACGCTGCTGACCGGCAGCGTGAGAGGGATAGAGAGAGACACGCGCAGCCACGTGGCAGCCTGGACCCCTGCTCTCGCGTGGCCTCCTCCTCCGTTCGTTCCAGTTCTGACCACGTGTTGCTCGTCTCCACCCCTATTTAATACCCGGGTCACGTGGTACCTTTCCACCAATCCTGGTTAGCCTCTATGGAATCTTCCAGACTCCCCCGTAGGCTCCCGGGACCGCGCCCCTGACTCCTCTCCCCATTGGCTGTGGCTAAAGCCAGCAGAACCAATCCTCTACTTACAGCTGCTGTCACCTTTCCATTACGTCAGGGCCACGCCCCTGACTCGTCTCCCCATTGGCTGTGGCTAAAGCCAGCAGAACCAATCATCTACAAACAGCTGTCACCTTTCCATTACGTCAGAGCCACGCCCCTGACTCGTCTCCCCATTGGCTGTGGCTAAAGCCAGCAGAACCAATCCTCTACTTGCAGCTGTCACCTTTCCATTACGTCAGGGCCACGCCCCTAGGCTTCCCCCCATTGGCTATGGACCAGGACCGGCAGAGCCAATCATCGTGACGAGTTGTAATCCGTCAACGACCCGGATATAACCTCACATTACAGTTGTGCAATATAGGGCGGCAGAAGCGATCTCAATGTTATGCTCCCGCTCTTATTGCCGCTCGTTCTGCCGCTCCTTCTGCTGCTGCTGCTGCTCCTGCTGCTGCTGCTGCTCAGGGCTGTGGGAACAGAGAGGGGACAACACCCACAGGAAGAAGGCCCCAAGGGCAGGAAGGGCAGCTTCTTCTCCTTCCTGAAGCCCTGGGCCCCACGGCCACCGCAGCTCACGTCTCAGCCCAGCTTGGAGCTGGGCCCGGCCTCCACAGCGCCCGACAGGTGTGTGCTCGGCCACACCACACGGCTGGAGCGAGAGAGTGTTTTGAACTCGTAGAATTTGGGAGTCAGAATACTATTCTTAGATTTTTTCGGTAAAGTCACGTAGGTAAAAATATTAAAATTAATAAAAGTAAAATAAAATAAAAATCACGACGTTTCGTGATTTTTATTTTATTTTACTTTTATTAATTTGTATGTTTTTACCTACGTGACTTTACCGAAAAAACCCTAAGAATATGAATCCTTGCAGTCACGAAAGCTTCAAATCTAGAATAGTCAGAATACTACTTTGTATGTGGTCCTTGCCTGGGGTGCAAATTTTGTAATAGCAATATGACCCCCCCACCTCCCACCTTTCCCCCACTGCCTGGGGTAAAAATTATGGTTATGCCGAGGATTCTGACACCTCCTTGGGTCAGCGTTAGACTTGGGGAGGTTCATATAGTGTCTAGAATTTTGATGCCCAGCATCCCAGGTCAAAATATTGTCTCACACCGGCAGCGCCTGCACACACCACAACAACAGCTGTCATTCACCACTAAGCAGCTCGGTGCACTTTGAGGCCCACTGAGATGACTGGCAGATGCACCACCTGTGCTCCCTACTGCGCCAACTTGCTGTCTTTTAGCCACCTGGCGTTCCACTCTTTGTTGTGAGTGCCGCTCCTCCGCCGTTGTTGGCAGGCGACTGCCTCCAACTGCCCAGTAGTGTCCTGCCTCCTGCACAGAGGCCGATCTCGACACCACTGGTACCGGTCATCGGCAAGTCCAATCAGCTCCACGTCCTCCTGTACTGCATCTTCTCCAGCCCGTGCCATGCCCATGGTCGGAAATAACTTGACGTGTGTCCCCGCGTGTGCCCGCCTTTCCGCCACGTAACCCCGTGTATTATGGCGTGTCGCAGTGTGTGTCTGTGTTCCCTGTGTGTCCCTGTTCTGGCGCGTCTCCACGTCTCCCCACGTGTCCTCATGTGTTCACACCACGTGTCTCCACATGTTTCAGTGTGCCCCTGTTTCTCCCCACGTATCCCCACGTGTCCTCACGTGTTCACACGTGTCTCCACATGTTTCAGTGTGCCCCTGTTTCTCCCCACGTATCCCCACGTGTCCTCACGTGTTCACACGTGTCTCCACATGTTTCAGTGTGCCCCTGTTTCTCCCCACGTATCCCCACGTGTCCTCACGTGTTCACACGTGTCTCCACATGTTTCAGTGTGCCCCTGTTTCTCCCCACGTCTCCCCACGTGTCCTCACGTGTTTACACGTGTCTCCGCATGTTTCAGTGTGCCCCTGTTTCTCTCCACGTATCCCCACGTGTCTTCAGCTCTGAGTCGTCGCTGCTGCCGCCGCCGGCAGTGGAGAAGGACGCGGTGGAGTTGGCGCGCGAGGGCCCCACGGAGGCGGCCGCAGCGACGGAGGAGCCGGCGCCCCCCGTGGAGCGCTGGCGCTTGTTCGGCGTCCCCGTCATGATGCCGCCCCACCCGACCGGGCCGCCATCCCAGCACCCCGATCTCACCTCCGGCAGGACCAAGGTGACCGATCGCAGCGTGCGTTGCACACCATGTGACCTTCGCTTCCTGTCTCTCCCTCTCGTTCGTTCTCTTGAGTTCCTTTGCCGCCTGAGGACAGATCCGTGGCACGGGTTCCCTCCATCCGATCCGATCCTGGCTACCCGGCAATGCGCGCTCGGGTTTCAGGGGCACGGCTACGGATGAACGATAGAGGACGTGTCCCCCGCGCCTTCCACAGCGGCGGCGTTTAGGCGACACCGTCGCCGGACGCAGTTGAACGTCGCGCCCAGGACGTCATTTGGATTTTCCCAAGCGGATAAACGCGTCCGCACCCCGGGGCGGGGCGCTGCACAGGACGTGCATCTTAGCGCATTGCAGCGGGGACCGGGTCGTTTAGCAATCGCGCACCCTCTTCACTCACCCTGCCTTGTCTCCCTCGCACTCCCGCGCTCCTCCTCCCGTCTGTCTGCCCACTCCCCCTGCTGCACGGTGGCGGCGGATTTCCGTCGTCCGCAGAAATCGGATTCGGTCAGCCAAGACGACGACGACTCGGCGGACAGCAAGAGCTACGCCCCGGGGCCTGGAGGTCAGCCAGGTCCATGACCCCTCCCCTCCCTCCCTCCCTCCCTCCCTCCCTCCCTCCCCTCCCTCCCTCCCACCTTCCATCCCTCCCCTCCCACCTTCCCTCCCTACGTGACTTTACCGAAAAAACCTAAGAGTAAGGATCTCCGTCCCCCGGTTCGCCGCGAGTGTTGCGTCGTCGCGGGCTCGGCGGCGGTGCGCGTGGCACCCGCGGTGACTCGCGGTCGGCTTCGCCCCGCAGGCTCCGCAGGGGAGAGGAGGATGACGGCGCGGCGCCGGGCCCTGCAGCCGCCCGCGAACCGCGACCTTCGCGAGGACGACGGTGACGTGGCGCCGGAGGGCCCAGCGACGGCCGTCTGGCGGTGCCGCCCCAACGCGCCCAGCGGTACGCGGCGGCGACGTCATCGTTGTGGGCTGTGCTCAATCCGCTGCTGGATGACGGCTTCCCCAAGTTGTCACCATCTCTCGTGGTCTTGCAGTGCAACAATTCGTCCAGTTCCGTCTCTTGCGTGGCGGTGTGTTCCCTGCCTTGACTGCCACTGCATTTTTTTGTCTCGACCACCGCCTCGTGACCCGAGTTCGATTCCTGCTCGTGGCCAACACCAGTGACGATTATCTGATCCGGTGCTGGGTCTCCTCCCCGACGTAGAATCGGCCTCAAATGAATACCTGGTACGGTGTGTAAACATCGCCACTGGGGAGACAAAGGCTGTCGGCGTGGTGCTGGTCACCCACCCCCTCGTGGACCATTCCGGCCTTCATAGGTGCTCGCCGACAACACTTGCTCCTAAGGCTATACGGGGGATCTTTGTTTTTGTGTCCACCCACGAAGGGGATGAGGGAGATGGCGAGGATAATGCTCCGAGCGAGTCGCAAGCGGCCTCCTCCCCTCGACTTCCGAAGAAGCACGAGGCCGACCCGGCGCCCAAACGGCCGGCCCTCCCCCGGGCTGCCCTGCAGCCTCCAGGTGAGTCACGTGGGCCTGCGCGGGTCCACGTGTGCGCGCACTGTCGTTGCGTTGAGGTTGATGCTCGTGGTTGCATTTGGGTCCATGTTTGTGGTCGTGAGGAGGTTGATGTTTGTGGCAGTGTTTGTGGTTGTGTCACTGCCGTTTCTTCTGCGGCGGTGGTGCCAGCACCAGCGCATGATGGCGAGCGCCGCGCATCCAACGTGTGCCCGGGCGCAGGCTCAGCAAATCGGTGCCGCCCGGCCTCCATGGTAGAGGAGGGCAGCCCCAGCGCGGTGGAAGACCACGTCTTCTCTGACCCTGCCGACCAATCACAAGCCTCGGCGGCAAGGCCCGTCACGGCGGAGGCGGAGCCTCGGAGGTCACGGAGGATGATAGTGAAGTGCCACTCGCTGGGGCAACAGCTGGACGAATAGCCGGTACGAGGGAATGCCCGCAAATTCTACAAATATCACGCGGCTCTTAACGTCTGCGACCAATGTCCTCGAACGCCAACAACCACGGATAGCCCAATTCCTACCGTGCTGTATGCGCCGAATGATCGGTGATAAGCACGTGTCCTGAACTTCTTTCGCACCGTACGTAGCCAACCGTGCGAATCGGAGGTGCGGGGGAAGGACAACAAACTAACAAAAAAATCGCGACATTAATTTCAATTAGCCTCGCAACATCACGCGGGGACGTGTTTACTACTCGTCAGGTTGCACGCAGCAGGGGTAACCGACGTAACGTCACTTTTTACGGAGAACACCGGTGAACGTGCAAAGATGTCCCACGGTGAGTGGCAAAGGACTGCAGTTTGTGAAACCCTAGCTCATCCCAATTGCCCGGTGAGTCTCGTTTAATCTCAAGTGCCATCTCACCCCCACCTCCCCCCCACTGAGTCCTTGCTTTTTCGCGCATCCGACACCAATGAGGAAGTCGCCCTGATGTCCACCCATCGCATCCACCCACAGTCAACCGCAACAGCTTATGCAGCTCCACGCTTCCCCAGGTTTCCCACGGGAAACACCCCCGGGAGGCCTTTGTTGGATTCCCCCTATTATCCCTCGTGAGTCACAGCGTCGCTTGGCTCGTCTCTGATGCCGCGTTTCCACGGCCACCACGGACCCACCCAGGTTCCCATGGCAGCCGTACCAGTTATTGGGGCTGGGGCACCGGGCCCACGTTATCCCTTTCATCGGCAGACACACGGCGCTTTCATCTGCACTGCCCAGAGAAGCAGGTCGCACTCTTGCAAACGAGACCCTACCCGGCTCTCTCGAGCTCGTCTCCCGGTTAAGCAATTCACCTCGTCCTGAAGGCCACAGGGTCAACACAGATAAGGGAATGAGTTGCCAGCAGCGTCCCTTAGCGCAACTCCAGCAGCTGCGACTTGTTTAACGTCATGGACTTTGACTGGGCCCGTTTGTGAAGCCACTGTTGGACAAAGTGCCTCGCCATTCCATATCGGTAATAATAATAATAGTTAAATTTGTAACGCGCGCAAATTTGCAGACGTAGTGGCCGCAACTCAGAGGCGCGGTGCCAAGCTCAGAGTCGCTCGAAAGCACGCGGTTGTAGAGGTGAGTTTTAAAGTGTCTCTTGAAGGAGGCGATTGAGGTGATGCTGCGAATGTGCAGAGGGATATCGTTCCAGACTGTTGGGGCTGCCACCGAGAAGCGGCGCATAGACACGATGACCATCCTGGATCTTGGTATCAAGAGGAAGTCGTGAGTCGCTCTGCGCAGGCATCTGCCGTGTGCTGAGCTGCAAGTTGTCATGGGGGTTGTTTGACCATACTTCACCATGCTGGGCAGCGCCGGTTGTTAATTCATCTTAGCTTGATTTAACTCTAGATTACGTGAAACTAAAACTGCTTTTTTCTTGTTAACGCTCGTTTCCCACCGGCTGCAGTGGCGAAGGAGCAGGAGAGGCTGTGGCTGACGGCCTTGTGCCGTGCTGCTGATGCTGGAACAGGCCTGGGCCGCTGAAGCCTCCCGCCTGCTGCCCCGGGTCGAAGAAACCGAGCTTGAATTAACCTCCTGAGCGGTGCGCTGGTCTTCCCTTTAAGCGGTGCCTTATTTCACATGCGCTCATCTCGCGGTCGCACGCTTCCTTCGAACGTGTTGCGTCGATGTGTGCAACTGTAAATCCTCAACGCGCAAGCGTCGCTCGCTCCGCTGTGCATGCGAGCCGCGGGTAGCGGTGAGGGGCTGCTGGTTTAACTCTTGCTAGCGGGGCCACGCTCAGCGTTGCTGCCACCGGCGATTGTTCAAGACATGGGGAGTCACGTTTTCGGGATGGGTGGTGCAGTGATTCGCGCTCCGTGCTATGAACTATACAACCTGAGTTCGACTCCCAGAAACGGGTCGATGCTGGGTGGGTAAAACACAGATTCCATTAATTTGGACTAGTTCTGGGCCTCCCCTAGGTCCAGAATCTGCTACAATGTGTAAACATCAACACAGGGGAAAGGAAATCGGCCGAGTGTAATACTGGCCACATCCGCCCCTGTCGTGTGGTGGAGCCGGCCTTAATAAGTGCTCGCTGACAGCACTTGCTGTCAGCGAGCCCTGGTCTGTGCTCCTCCCTACTGAGTCATGAGCCATTGCTGTTGACGCCAAGAGCTGCCATTGTATCGTTATAAACTTGAACTCGCAACTGGTTTTTGTGATGTTATTGAGCGTTCTTCTTGGTTCTTTCGGTAAAGTCACGTAGAAGGGAAATAATAAAATAAAATTTTTTTATAATACATTTATTTTATTTTATTATTTCCCTTCTACGTGACTTACCGAAAGAACCAAGAAGATGAATCCCTGCAGTCACGAAAGCTTTAAATCGAAATTATTGAGCGTTCTTAACGAGTGTAGTGTCATTCTGGATTGTTAATGTTATGGTCAGTAATTTGTTCATGTTTTGCAGGGGCGGTATTTTAATAATTGTCGTTTTGCACTGTTGCTATGATTAATGCCAAGGAATGTTCAAGCAATGCAAAGCAAAGGTTGCGTGTGCAAACGATGGGAGGCTCAGTGGCACCGCGGCTGCGAGCGGTCACGCATTGACCTCTACTGCAGAAACTCGGTAAAATTATCTCCTGCCGGACCACAATCCCAGGCTGAAGCGATGGGTTACTTAACACCCACTCTCTTAACATATCCCAAAGCGTACGCGGTACGCTCGGTAACATAACCCAGCAGCGTTTTGTTGTTGTTTGTTTTGCTGCTGTATGAAGGTGAATATGCTTGAATGGAAAGTGGTGTGCCAGTCATTTTCCACGTTAAAGAGAATGTGGCGGGAGGTGAGGGTCTGGGTCAGAGAGACGCGGTTTGGCCGAGACACGAAGCCGTTCAAGTCTCCCGCTCGCTCCTCTTGGCAATGGGTTAAAAGCGATTGTAACCGCTACGATACTTGCGTTGATTCGCGATGCGTGCCCCGACTTGATTAGTCACATCGCGAGGAGTGCGAATTGTTCGGGGCTGGTCCGGTGCCTTTCCTCCCGGGCCCCTCATCCATGCTGGCGCTGGGCAGACGCGTGCAGTATTGTAGCTGTTGAGTGTGCAGGCGGTGTCACTGCACGGGGCCCACGGGCTAGAGGGGCCCAGGCACTGGGTTGCAAGGAGGGGAATGGCAAACAGGGCCCCCCCATTTCATTCCTTGCACCAGGACCGTGCTGACCAAGATACGTCGCACGGAGGACGCGTTGGCAAGACGTCATGAGGACGTTCATCGTGGGTTTTACATCGAATTTATACCATTAGTACTTTTGATATAACAGTTGGTTTCATAGTTACGTAATTTGTTACGTAAACTCGTGCAATGTTATGCTGTGCGCATACTGTAAAGCTAAATTAAATCGAGGTTCGCACTGACTGTGAGCAGTGTGTTTTTATAATGAATCTGCCATTTACACGATTTCAGACGTACGTTTCACTTGAAAGATTTGGGTAATCAATTAAATGTAAGAAGTGGATTTTACTTATGTCAACAAAATAGGACTGCGATGATGATGATGCAATTCATCTCTCCACCTTGATAGGGGAGAAATCCTCATGAAATGTGACTGATACACGCTGGGATGGTGATGGTGCCTTCAGTTTTGTGAACTCGTCAAACCGGTTGACTTATTCCATGAATAAGCCATATTTTATAAAACCATAAATTATTACACAGTAAACATGGAACGTTGGACCAACGTTGCGTCCAACGTTGGTTCAACGGTTCCAACCGCACGGTTGCTGGGTGAACTTCAAGATGACGACCCACGTTTGTTACGATGATGATTGTGAAATGTTGACTGTGTTGAGGGTGTCTACATGGTCCTGTTGTTGAGTGCTAATGCCATTACAGCTGTCAGGCCTGCCCATCTCTCTATGACAGACCAGAGGGATGGTACAGAGAGACAAACAGACAAAGATCCCCCCTGTAGCCTTAACAGACTCTTGGGGCAAGTGCTCTTAGCGAGCACCTATGAAGGCCGGCACGGCACACGATGGGGTGGGTGTCCAGCACCACGCCCGACCGCCTTTGTTTCCCCAGTGGTGATGTTCACATACCGCACGAGGTACTCGTTTGAGGCTGAGCCGACCTAGGGGAGGCCCAGGACCGGTTCAGATAATCGTCACTGATGTTGGCCGTGAACGGGAATCGAACTCGGGCTGCTGGATTCATAGTGCAGCGTGCTAATCACAACACTACCACTCCCCACAGAGCCCCAACACTACCACACACGTGGTCCAGACAGTTCACAATTTTACAGTGAGATACGCACGTGCTTTCCTGTAAACCAGTGATTTGCCGGTGAGTACTGATGAAGATGTCACTGGGCTACGAAGTGTCCAGGAGACTGCAGTACAGCAAGTGGGCTGTGTGGCCCTTTGCATACAGCCAAGTGGCTCGGTGGTAGAGCAAGTGGCTCACAATTGAAAGTTCAAATGCTGGTTGGGGGTTGACTCATCATCCCTCTGGGGTATGGTAAAACATTAGTACCACTTTGTGGCAAGGTCAACAGAGGTTGTCCTTTAGATAGACTCGCTCCCACCAGAGGAATGTGGAATTACACCACTGACTCAATTATCACTTAATCAAAAACATAACTTTGACCTTATTGGTTCTTTCGGTAAAGTCACGTAGAATTGAAATAATAAAATAATAAAAATGAAACATAATAAAATAATTCTCACGACGTTTCGGCCACAACGCAAGCAGCCGTCCTCAGGTGAAGAACAGGTCTGTCGGAAAGACAGACGCTGTCTTTCCAACAGACGCTGTTTTTCTGACAGACCTGTTCTTCACCTGAGGACGGCTGCTTGCGTTGTGGCCGAAATGTCGTGAGAATTATTTTATTATGTTTTATTTATATTATCTTATTATTTCCCTTCTACGTGACTTTACTGAAAGAACCAAGAAGAGGTCTATTATTCTTGGATAAATGGCATTCCTAGAACGTTGCGCAAAAATGTCACTGCCAATTTCAGTTAAATTGGTACAGAAGTTATCTGGCCTCAGGTGGTAACAGTTGATGGTATATCTGTGGCGCAGTGCTGCTTCTCAAACGATGTTATTCCATGGCACTCACACTATGGAGCTTGCTAGACCTTCGCGGCCACACCGAACCAGAAAAATCACGGTGGGTCCCCGTGTGGGTGGGTTGGTTGGTGACTATGTGGGCGGGTGGGTGGGAAACCCATTGGTAGCCGAGAGAGAATTCACGATACCTTTATCTATTCTAGATTTGAAGCTTTCGTGACTGCAAGGATTCATATTCTTAGGTTTTTTCGGTAAAGTCACGTAGGTAAAACATTAAAATTAGTAAAAGTGATTTTTATTTTATTTTACTTTTACTAATTTTAATGTTTTACCTACGTGACTTTACCGAAAAAACCTAAGAATATGAACCTTTACCTATTCTTACTGATCTCATCGAGAACGAGCAAATGCAGGCGGTGCTGCCGAAATCCGCGACAGGGAATTTTATTGTTGACGAGTGGAGATGAACGTCACGAAGGAAGTTAAAGCTTCTATCAGCGGCTGTTTTCCCAAACCGCAGCAGTGCCCGACCGAGGGATCTGCCATCCAATGGGGAGTGCAGGGCGGGACGTGGGGGATGGATCGGCCACTGAACGGCACGGACGAGAGTTCGTCCATCGCAGCTTGCGGCAGTGACGTTTCTTGACTTTTGCTACGATTACAAAGATGCCGTGGGCACAGCGGGGAATTTGCCACCGCGGGCACACCGGTGGTGAATCGCTGCCCCGGGGGTGGGTTGGTGTGGGTTGGTCCTCATCGCAAGCGAGATCGCTTAATAGCAGTTTGGGGGAACCGATGTCCGTCCCCCTCCCCCCCATCTGTGATTTGTGTGGTGTTTGAGTGTCATGTGCTTCATACTCGGTACATTTTCTTTAAAATTTGCCTGGCTTTTGTTACAAAATGTTTATTTGTGCGATTTTTCATAGCAAATAAATTGCGTAGATTTTTTTCTACTACCGGTTAAATGTTTCGTCCGATTTTTCTCATTTAGAATTTGCACTTTTGTCTTGATTGTAACTCGCCGGATTTGTCGTTCTGCACCGATGCCAACGGAGCAGCAGCATCACCAAATAATTTGTGAGGTATGGGTACTAAAGTCATCAATGTGTAATGACCGAAATATTACCCCAAGCCATATGCAGCCTAACGGCAATTTAAAAATAAACAGCGGTCTCCGATTGGAAGAAAGAGGTCTCTACCGTGATTGGTCAGGAGGCAGACTTTAAAAGGGATTGCTGAATAGGGGTTGAACGGGAAAACAAAAAGGAACCGTTAAAGGACAGGGACTGGCGAGAAGTAGAAAACAAGGAGGTTCGAGAAAGGGGGCTGAGGGCTATATAAGTGGAGAGCACTCGGAGGAAGACACAAGCAGAAAGACAAGGACGAAGCCTAGGGTCCCTCATCGTAGACATCTATAGAAGGGTTCCGTATTGTGGAAATTTTTTAATAAAAGTGGCTCTTCTTATAACTTGATGTTCGGAGTCGTTCTAGAATGGAAGTTTTCGTGACTGCAAGGATCCATACTCTTTGGTTCTTTCAGTAAAGTCACGTAGGTAAAAATTAACCCGTAAAAACAAAGTTTTTCACTATAAATCCTTTATATGCGTGGCATCGGTTTTATTTTATTATTCATTTATGTTTTTCTTGAGTAAGAGTTTCATTTTTATCACATTGGTATTTTAAATAAAATATGAAAAAAAATTTTCCTAAAAAGTGGAAAATTTTGGAAAAAAATTTTCACGAAAATAAATTGTCACGCACAACGAGTCTGTGTGCAAAATATCAGCTCGATTGGATCACGGGAAGTTGGTTAAAAAACGACCGAAAGATTTGCACGGTCGTAAGCGCGCAAGCAAGCAAGCAAGTGAACTTAATATAAAGGATTTAAAAACAAATAAAAATTGAAAAATAAAATAAAAAATAAATTAAATTAAATCAAGACGTTTCGGGCGCAACACAAGCGCTCATCATCAGGTGGGACCACCACAGCCAGTGGATCAATGTTAGTGGATGACATGAGTGTTGGTGAATGGGATGAGTGTTAGTGGATGGCATGAGTGTTAGTGGATGGCATGAGTGTTGGTGGATGGGATGAGTGTTGGTGAATGGGATGAGTGTTAGTGGATGGCATGAGTGTTGGTGGATGGGATGAGTGTTGGTGAATGGGATGAGTGTTGGTGAATGGGATGAGTGTTAGTGGATGGCATGAGTGTTGGTGGATGGGATGAGTGTTGGTGGATGAGATGAGTGTTGGTGAATGGGATGAGTGTTGGTGAATGGGATGTTGGTGGATGGGATGAGTGTTGGTGGATGGGATGAGTGTTGGTGGATGGGATGAGTGTTGGTGAATGGGATGAGTGTTGGTGAATGGGATGAGTGTTGGTGGATGGGATGAGTGTTGGTGGATGGGATGAGTGTTGGTGGATGGGATGAGTGTTGGTGGATGAGATGAGTGTTGGTGAATGGGATGAGTGTTGGTGAATGTGATGAGTGTTGGTGGATGGGATGAGTGTTGGTGGATGGGATGAGTGTTGGTGGATGGGATGAGTGTTGGTGGATGGGATGAGTGTTGGTGGATGGGATGAGTGTTGGTGGATGGGATGAGTGTTGGTGGATGGATGAGTGTTGGTGGATGAGATGAGTGTTGGTGAATGGGATGAGTGTTGGTGAATGGGATGAGTGTTGGTGGATGGGATGAGTGTTGGTGGATGGGATGAGTGTTGGTGGATGGGATGAGTGTTGGTGGATGAGATGAGTGTTGGTGAATGGGATGAGTGTTGGTGAATGTGATGAGTGTTGGTGGATGGGATGAGTGTTGGTGGATGGGATGAGTGTTGGTGGATGGGATGAGTGTTGGTGGATGGGATGAGTGTTGGTGGATGGGATGAGTGTTGGTGGATGGGATGAGTGTTGGTGGATGGGATGAGTGTTGGTGGATGGGATGAGTGTTGGTGGATGAGATGAGTGTTGGTGAATGGGATGAGTGTTGGTGAATGTGATGAGTGTTGGTGGATGGGATGAGTGTTGGTGGATGGGATGAGTGTTGGTGGATGGGATGAGTGTTGGTGAATGGAATGAGTGTTGGTGGATGGGATGAGTGTTGGTGGATGGGATGAGTGTTGGTGGATGAGATGAGTGTTGGTGGATGGGATGAGTGTTGGTGGATGGGATGAGTGTTGGTGGATGAGATGAGTGTTGGTGAATGGAATGAGTGTTGGTGGATGGGATGAGTGTTGGTGGATGGGATGAGTGTTGGTGGATGAGATGAGTGTTGGTGGATGGGATGAGTGTTGGTGGATGAGATGAGTGTTGGTGAATGGGATGAGTGTTGGTGGATGGGATGAGTGTTGGTGGATGAGATGAGTGTTGGTGAATGGGATGAGTGTTGGTGGATGAGATGAGACGTATCTTCAACCGAGAAGATGGATGCAGGCTGAGCAATCATTGGAAATATGTTATTAACCAGGTAAAACCAGAACTACGTTATGTTGTGGTGTTTGCAGCATTTTCAGCGTCTTCGGCTTCACTGCCATGCGTTATGGCTGTGGTTGTCCCACCTGATGACCAGCGCTTGGGTTGCGCCCGAAACGTCGTGATTTAATTTATTTTATTTTTTATTTTATTTTTCAACTTTTATTATTTTTTACCGACGTTACTTTACCGAAAGAACCAAAGAGTATGTCGGAGTCATTACAAATGTATGAAAAATACGAATAGGGGTTTACCCTTTCTGGCAATTAAACAGGCGTTAAGATATTATTTGGGTCTTTCGGTAAAAGGTTCAAAAAATAAAAACAAACCACGTTTCGATCGCAACACAGGCGTTCCTCTTTTCTCCCCGATGACTCAAAGAATTCGAATTCCTGCAGGCACGAAAGCTTTAAGTCAATATTTAGGTGTTCAGACGTTCAAACACCAAATAGATACCTTTGCAAGGGATCAAGTACTGCATTAACCACAGGGGCCGTCCATAAAGACGTCACGCGATTTTGGACGATTTTTGACCCCCCCCCCCCCCCCTTTGTCACACGACGTCACAAAAAGTCAGACCCCCCCCCTTAAATATGACGTCACAAAGCTCTGCCCCCCCCTTAAATATGACGTCACAAAGCTCTGCCCCCCCCTCAAATATGACGTCACAAAGCTCTGCCCCCCCCTCAAATATGACGTCACAAAGCTCTGCCCCCCCCTCAAATATGACGTCACACAGCTCTGCCCCCCCCTCAAATATGACGTCACAAAGCTCTGCCCCCCCCTCAAATATGACGTCACAAAGCTCTGCCCCCCCCTCAAATATGACGTCACAAAGCTCTGCCCCCCCCTCCCCCAAAAAAAAACATGCTTCAAATCGCTTTAAACTATTGTCATCGTAGTGCGTGTTTAATGTGGCGCTGCACTCTGATGTTGTAGGAGAAAACATTTATTAAAACGTCTATTTAATTAAGTAGAACGTGTTCTCTATATTTATTTAAAGTTGCGCATTTTGATGTGACGTCACATTTCTCACCCCCCCCCCTCGTCACATATCGTCACAAATCTCTGACCCCCCCCCACCCCCCTAGGTGCGTGACGTCATTTATGGACGGCCCCTAATCGATTCCTGAATTCG